GAAAACAATTTTGAACCCTCGCAGAACTTGAACAACTGCTATATTATTTATAAACGAATTGATTTTTCCACTTATTACGTAATATATCTATGTATTTACAGCGGATCTCCAAGAAAAAACATACCATTTATTTATCTAGTTGTTTCAAAACTATATAGATACCTAATTACAAACTATCTATTAATTTCTATAATTGTGAAAAAGTTCAACCATTTAAACCTTGCCGTTGTAATGCTCTAATGAAATTAAAATCCAGACATGAACTGTGAAAAATCGAGAGCTCGATCAGCATGCGTGCCTTGTCCGCTGCACGATCCATAGAAGGGAACCGCCACCGCACCGCCAGAGTCTCTCCGTTAGGCGCATTCCTATCCGGCTTTTCTGTTTGGAGATCTGCCAAAATTATCTCACCGGTCACGCCCGGACGACTCCTCAATATATTCACAGGAGAGTGTCAGCTCAGTGAAAATGCCGATGGTTTCGTAAACCATTCGTTGGTTCTTCACTTTTACAATTTACGCACCAAATGCTCCCGAAACGTCCTTTCGTGAGGTATTCGAAAAAAATTCGATTCAGCGTTGGGTAAAACTCCTCTGCACGCTCGACACATAATAAATCAGTATTCATAAGCATTTTATTGCAGATAGGCTGGTGTGGTTCTTCTGGGTTAATGGCTGTGAATGTCTTTTCGTGGTAGACTCATAAAGCGGTCATAAAACATTTACAAATATTGCGTACAAAATACTATGGGTTTTCTTCTCAATTTTTTTATTATTATTATTTTTTTTATCCTTCAGTGTCTTACGAAATTTGTGTACTATATTTTCATTAGCGAACAATTGCGGATGCTGATTGGGACTGTTAAAGAACGTCCTTTCCTCTTGTTGGTCCCTCCATTACATCCTCCCTCCGCAGTCAGATGCTCTTCTGCTATTCGTCGGCGAGCGGGATAAAGGCCTGATCTGGACCAGTAGAAGTGATGCTGTGAAATTAAGTTCGTGCTCCGCCTTTGCGAGAGCGTCCAATGGCTGAGCTTTGTTACATAAACCAACTGTACCGGTTGTACAGAGGAGGTCAAAGCGTAGTAGTGAACCAGTTTAAACGATTATGTAATTGTAAGATTTTCGAGCTTTCCTAAAACGGATTAAAATAGATTTATTGTCACTATTGTTATGCTCTGTTAGAAAGTACACAAATATTTATTGATATCGGATGAGATTATTTTATTGTTATTAATTTGTTTTATATAGCGTTTTCAATTAACGAAATCAGTGAAGCACAAATTAATATTTTCGTGAAAACCCGATTACCCTGTTAACCACGAATTTGAAAATCAATGTTTTTTAGTTATAAATTTTGTATACCTACCTATATAACGAGCGTTCAAATAAAAACCACGTCAAGTTGGCTCAATTCACATCTACAAAGCCAGCTTGACGTCGTTTTTATTTGAACGCTCGCTATTATTTTACATGCAGATGGGTTTATAACTTATGACTAATTTTTTTACAGAAGGTTCTTATTTATATATGTACAAATATTTAAATTTGTTTAATGTTTAAAAATGGTACAAATATGATTTTTTAAATGTATCAATTTCTCTAAAAAGTTAAAAGTTACATATTATATTAATATTTGAACCAATATGTACAATTGTTTTATGGTTATTAATCGGTAGTTGTAGGTATATTAAGACTTTTCAAAACACTATAGATATGTATAGTTTCCTCAGTTCTAATTCGGTTTTATGATACTACCCCATTGTGTAAACGTTAACTTCCTGAACAATAGATTAGGTATGTACTACTGCCCGTGATGGGACAGTCATAAATAAGGATTTAACCATGCCGATACCATTATACAGTATATGATTAAATCCTTATTTAATACTGTCCCATCATCGGCAGTAGTAATCTATTGTTAAGGAAGTTAACTTTTACACATCATAAAACCGAATTAGAACTTGGAAAACTATACATATGGAGTGCCATTCACTAAGAGCGCAGTCCTCAGTATATCATTAATTACTCATTAGAGATAAGTACTTATAAAAATACAGCCCAATATCAGTAGGTACATCCTTAACTTCCATTGTTTATGTTTATACATCGAAAGGATGCGACGATTCAGCACGTAGCAAGATGCCCGATTTGAATGATTTAATTTCCTCAAAGCAGAGGGGACGACTAAAATTATTACAATGGTGCGAAACATTCTGAATATTATGGTGGATGACTAGGTAGCTATTATAATTCTTATTTTATATGAATCGTTCTTGATTTCGTCAGTGAAAAAATTGTGACATATACTTCAATCGAATCAGCGACCTTCGCGTTGGTACTTCAACACTTACTACAGGGTTTTCACACTTCAGTGCCCTTCTAATGGTATAAAATATGATGATGCAATTTGGGTTTTTTGTGCGAAAATCTGGATGTTCACGGTAAAAATCAAGGCGGATTCATAAACAACAGGTATAGGAGTATGTCATTTTATAAAATTTAAAGGCATTTCCGCAAAAAAATATTGAGGGGACGTCGCAAAAAAATGATGGGGATGATTAACTAAATTTTAATTCATTATAATATATATATAAAATTTTACAACAATCGGCCCAATAGTTTCGGAGATTATCTGTCTAATAAAAATCGACACAGACGAGAGACAAACGAAAACATAGGACCTACTTTTTCGTACTCTAGGAGGGAAGTAAATAATAACAGTACTGTTGGTATACTACACAAATTTTCGGAAAAAGATGATGAGCCGTTCTTGATTTGATCAATAAAATAGAAGTCTTATTCATTAAATTTTTTGAGTCATCCTGAATAAGTGGTGTAAATTCTAAAAAATGTGAATGTATCGATAAACCACAAGTACTTATAAATTTATAATATTTTGGATATTTTAGATAGGATTTATTCGACAAAATTTTGAGATAATATTAATTTTTTTGGGAGGGGATAAACTGAAGATTTGATAAGATTGCAAGATTTCAGAGCATTCGGTTTTCAGTTTCAAAGTTGAATCACAAAATGTTGTTATAAAGTTTTGATCTCTTTTCCAAAAATCTTGATTTCAATGGTTAAAACTCAAGACGGATTCATAAACCACAAGTACAGGAGTATCTTATTTTATGAAATTTTCCAGTTTTAGCGTTTTACCATCTACACGATATTCCTAAAATGCATATAAAATTTGACAACAATCGGTTCTGTATAGTTTCGAAGATTATCCGACCAATAAACGTCACCACAGATAGACAGACGACAAACAGAAGGAAACGGAAAACTTAGTTTTTCGTACACTAGGGGTCCTGAAACGTCGAAAAAACATGAAATTAGCCAGTCGCCCGATGGACTCGAGAAGTAAAAATCATTTTAACTGAGTTTAATTTATTTTTTGGGTAAAGCTTTGTTGCAGAATACGAAAATTCAGGTTTCCAGTTCCCGTTTCTTTGTAGCTTGCATGTCAACTGACAAAATGTACATAAATCATCTTGGAAACAGCCATTTCAAATACCTCAAAATTTTAAGCTTTTTTAAATTTTAAAAAATGACATTAAATAAGTTGTTGAAAAATACTTCAAGTTGCATATGATATTGGATGAGCTTTGGAAGTTAGGAAAATTAGGTTTCCTAATTAACTTTGTAACGAGCGTTCAAATAAAAACGACGTCAAGGTGGCTTGAGAAATGTGAACGAATCATTCACTAAGCTCTAAATTCACATTTACATATTTCAGTCACTGTCAGCGAAAAAAGGTAATGTCAAAATTAAATAATAGAAATATATTAATGGGAAAAACTAAACATGTAATAATTGATATTTTTTCTTTGGAAAAAAAAGTTAAATGTTAACGTTACAGAGATTAGTTTTTCATAGAGTAACAGACTGTGGCTATGATTCAAGGGAAATTTTACTTGGTAATTTCCAGCCAAATTATGTTCACAGATTGGATAGGCAACCAGTTATTCAGAAACAACACCCATAATTTTAATTTTGCTGAATAAAAAAAAGTTGTCTAGTGCCTACTAATAAATTTATTGTGAATTCGACATTAGACATTTACTTTTTCAGAACTGAGTAAAATTGGATTTGATTAGAAAAATAATTTTCTAAACTGGACCAAATGTTTTTTTTTTTGCAATTGTAGATATTTGTATTGATTTCAGTCTATTAAAAAATAAAAGGTGCAATTTCATAAAATAATAAAATTGTAAAATTGCAAAAAACCAAAAATGTAAAACGCATTTAAAAAGCGACCAAAATCATAATGCTTCATGTTCACTATATTTATAGTTTTGGAAATTTCATTCTACTCTATAAAATTTTATTGACAATAATGAGACGAACAGTAGTACAGTGGTAAGAAATATTTATGGCTCATTGTAGTTCACCCAAATTTGTCGGAGAACATTTAGCAGGTGTTTGTACTTATAAAATAATGGTCATTTTCGTTCGTGAGTAACGACGGTCCCTGTCCGGAGCTCGATTACTCTGCTTTCCAACATCTGGGGATTACCAGCACGCGACAACTTTAAGTTGTAAATATCTCTTGCTAGTGTACTGCTATCGGTCTCGTTATTGCCAATAAAATTTTATAGGGTAGAATGAAATTTCCAAAACCATATCTTCCTATCTATATTCAAATTGTAACTTCTAAAATCTTGTAAAACGGGAATGTATTTTGTGGTGCATATTCACACAACAAGAAAAGTTCAACGTTTGGAATGTGAAAAATTTTGTAAAATTATTTATGTACAACTAATGCTTGTCATAAAGGTACCATGTGGTAGGAATTTTGATTAAAATGGGTTTTTAGTTTATTTCTAGTTTTAGTAACACTAGAATGATCTTGAAATTTTAGCTTTGATTTTAGTACTAGCTTATGCAGCTTTTTCTGGTTGTAGACTTTACATGGTATTTCAGTTTCGTTTTTTTACACTTTTAATTATTTTATTCAGGGTAATAAAACATAATACTTTTCCAAGTTGGAAGTACAGAAAATCAATCTATTACGTAACTTTTTACAAAAAAATACGATAGCAATAGAATATAAATTATATCATTGTGTATTACTGGTTGCATGCAAAAATGTAAACCCACTGCTACATTAAAATAATATATTTAACTTTTTCGTCCTTGTATGTAACTACAAACTACCGAATATGTACACAAAAACGCCACAGTAGCATTCGTCCCTACTCAGGTATCATATCAATACTCAACTCCTCCCCCATATTACTGGGCGAAGTCTCCAACTCTCCAATATCATTCGACTCGCTATCCAGCGACGGCTCGTTACTGAACATCTCCGTGGGCACCGTCGGTGGCGCCCTCTCGGGCACCAGCTCGACATAATTCTGCGACTGCAGATGCCTCTCCACCTCTTCAGGCGTCATATGCCCATCTGACAAAATATTACTATTAGCGGAACTCCCTGGCAGGTGAACCAGGGTATGGTGAGACAACGTCTTCGTCGGTCGCGGAGTCGGATTCCGTTTCTTCTTCGCCACGGGCAGCGACTTCCCGGACACCGCATGGGGGCCGTTGTTATACGAACTATCCAATTTTCGCCTGAAACCAGTTAAATTAATCATCAATTTACTTACTTTGAAAGAAATACAACTTTTTAGTTGGTGGTTCGACTTTGACCGGCTCTCCGTCGTCCGAGGAGTCGGTGTCTTCAGATTCTGAGGTGGAGTTGTCAACCTTCTCGTGGAGAAGGAGTCTGTCGAGGAGGAACGTGCGGTCTCTGGTGATTGCGAGGAGGCGCTTTTGGGCCGCACGGAGGGCTTCCATTAAGGCCTCATTTTCCTTGAAAAGGGTGGTAGATTGTGAAGAAATAACACACTTGATACAAATGCGCACAGGTTTTCATAGGTACATTGTCCTCTGAAGTCATGTGTTTGCAAAACTTCTGGTGTGATAATTAAAACTAACGCCTATGTAATGATAATACAGGTAAAAATTTAGTAAAACTTACATAGACCAAGTTGTGAAATTTGCGTTTGAGGAACCTGTATTCCTTTTTGAATTTTGATTCTTCTTGAGCTCGTTCTTCTTCCTCGGCGAGGGCTGCCGCATTTGCCATTGAACGGCAGTACCAGCCATCAAGCATTTTTTCCAGTATCTGATGAATGTAAACAATGGGGCTGGAAAGTGAGGTTATGAAGTTATGATTGACAGGGCAGCTGTTTGCTGTTGCTACGAAAGGTTGCCAACACAATCATGAACTGTCAATCAAAATGACACATTCCCCACCAACACCAGTCCAACACAATTTATTTTAAGTTTGTGATTTATTTCATTCGTTTAATTTGGCATTCATGAGACTGAAGTAACACAAAACAAATGTTTTTTGTAGGATAAAACGGCTTGTCTCTTTTAATTTACAAAATAGCAACGTGGCTAGTGACATTTTGTGCGATGGCAGCCCTGCGTGGTCGTGTTTTTGAATCTGCCAAACTGACGTTTCGTTTAACCAACAATTCGTTGACATTCAAAAGAAATTAAAGAAAAATGAGTTCGTACTTGGCAGAAGTGTTATCGTCTTGTGAAAAAATGGAAGTGGAACAAATTAGACAAAAGTGCCCTGAAGTTGCAAAGTCGGTCGAAACGTGCAGAGGCGAAGTTCTATCATACTTGGAAAATGTGTATGTACGTTTCATAGAGCGCCCCAGACAGAACAAAGCGCTCGCTAGTAAAGTAAACCAACTGCAGGACGACGTCGGTGGACTAATCACGAACGTAGAGCAAATCACTCGGAAAGAGTTAGACAGAGGCAAAGACGAATTAGACAAATACGTAGAGTTGTTAAAACAATCCAATATCGCGCTGTCTTTAGTTTCAGTAGTGTACAACATTCACGAGGCGCTAATCGAAATCACGAATTTACAACAAAGCGAGTCTTATTTGGAATGCATGACGAAAATTTTGGGAGTGGAGAGTTTTATTCATAATTTAGACCCGGATCTTCAGCTACCGGTTGTCCAAGAACTCAAGCTAAAAGTGTCAACAGAGAAAAATTCGCTCTTGAACACCCTGTCGAATCTGTTCAAAGACAGCGTCATTCTCAATCCTAGTGACAACAAAAGTGTGATACAAATAATGAACGAAAACGAGAAGATGAAGGAGGTGTTATCAGCGTTGTATTTTTATAAAACGTCTGTCACTCGTCTAGACAACGTGACGAAGTTCTTGTGGAATCACGTTTTCGTTCCGATTGTTGATACCACCACTGAAATTAAAACTAACGCTGAGAATGGTTTTGCAACTCTGGAGGTGGTTACAGTGGATCCTAATAAAAAATCGTCTTACGTGGAAGTTTTTGCTAATATTAAAACCGTTCTCGAGTTTTTGTTGGCCAATTTCAATATACCCCTGGATGAGAAATTGTCAACTTTGAGCTATATTGGCAGAGATATCAGAGACAATTTATCTGAGCTTATAATTAAACATTGCCTTCAAGACACGATACCGTCGACGCAGGAGGGTTTACAACAGTATAAAACGGTGATAGAAGCGACTGAAGAGTTGGAAAAAAGTCTCGTCTTGTCGCAAATTTTTGCTGAAGATACAACGTCCATTTTGCAGTATGCCAACAACATTGATGTTCTGTTTATTAACAAGAAATGTCAAGAATACGTACAGATGGCGCAGGAACTCATGAAAAGAGATTTACACGATTTGGTGGAAGTTGGTGAAGTTCCAACCAACGGGCTTGAGCTAAGTGAGGAATTTCCAAGGTGCTCCATCTCTCGTAGCGTCATAGATTTACTGAACCTCTTGGAGAAAATTCTGCAGCAAGCCACTGACTCGTCTGAGGTCTGCGCAGGGCGCTTATTTTGCACGGTCAAAAATATAAGTCAAAAGTATATAACTTTTGTGCCAGACCACCACAAGAAGTTACTACAAACGATCCCACAACAAATTGCCGTATTTTACAACAACTGTTACTACATTTCGCACAAAATGTCTGGATGGAGGGACACCCACCTAAAACAATTGCCCGTTTTATTAAACATAAGTAAGTTTTATTATTATCATTATTATTATTGAAATTTGGCGGACTACAAATGTACCAATACCAAGTGGTTAGAGATTATTAGCCGATTGCGTGAACACATTTTTGTTGGTTAAGAAATTTAATTGAGGCTGCGTGCGCAGCGCATACTGAGTAGTCGAACTTTAAACTTAGTAACTACATTAACATTTTCTTTAAAGTTCTGCGGTTTTTTTTTACAATTTTTTTTTTTTTTTTGTAATGTAGGCGTGGACAGCTTCGGCGACGACGAGCTCCAGCTCCGCGAAGTCGCCTCCGAGAAATTCGACGCCTACGTCGACAGCCAGATCAAGCAAATCGACGAAATCATGAAAGAGTCGGGTCTGCAAAAACCCACACTCGAGCATCTAGATCCTTCAACGGAAAAGTGCATCCGCCAATGCCTGCGCCAGCAGGAGCTCCTCAAAACCGTGTGGCATAAGGTGCTGCCCTACACCCTCTACAACAAGACCCTGGGACTCATTCTGAATTCGCTGTGCCTGTACTTGGTCAAGACCGTGGTCAAGTTCGAGGACATCCCGTCGGATGCGGCGGAACAGTTGGTGGAGTTGTTCAAGATGGTGCAAACGCGAGCGCCCAAGTTGTTCACGGATCCGAAAGAAGTGAGCTTGTTTGTGGCCAGCTGGTGCAAGTTGAACGAGTTGGCGTTCGTGCTTAACGCGAGTTTGTTGGATATTAACGACCGGTGGGCCGACGGGAAGGGGCCGTTGGGGCTGGAGTTCGAGGCAGAGGAGCTGAGGCAGCTGGTGAGGGCGCTGTTCCAGAACACGGAGAGGAGGGCGGCGCTGTTGGCGAAGATTCATGATTGATTGTTGAGGTTTAGAAATAAAAATTTCATTTTTTGGGGTTTGGTTATTTCAGGGAAGTGAAGTGACTAAGGTATACGTTGTATGTATGTCTATATTCCTTTTATATTTTGTAGCTTAGGTTCGAGGGAAGTTCTGTTAACTTTAGACCTTTTTACCAAATGGGTTAATATTTTATGAAAAAATAAATTTTTACATCTGTAGGACGTAGAGAACCAGGACCAGGTAGACAGAAGTTTATGCTTCGAATACGGAGAGAGATACCATAGCATCGAGAAAAATCCGTTTACAGACAATAGAAATATTTAAGCGAATTGTGATTTTTAAAAATCCCGCCAAAACCATGACGTAAACACGATAGTTTTTCTACTAAATTGTCATGGACAAACAAGCCTCACTAGTTTACTTTCGTGCCTGTATCCACCGTGTTTTCCATATGAAATCGCATGTCTAGGTTATCTTCAAAGTTTGAAATAATCAAGATTCTGTGATAACTCAAACATCCTTAAATTGACATGTGAAAAAAAATTAAATCCCGCGAAAAATTCAAAAATTTGGCCTTGGCTGTGATCGTCTAACAAAATGGAACCCTAAATTGTGTTTGTTTTTTTTTTGTGGCAAAATGCGTTCAGATGTAAGTGGTGGACTCCAATGTTGGAAAAATACCGCTAAATAAAATACAAAATATATGGAGGACACCACAAAATTATTTATTCCTCCACTGACAAAAAAATAAGAAAAAAAACGCCTCTTTAATGCTCAGCTACCAAGAAAAAACTTGCCTAACTTTGAGTGAAACCAAATCAAACGTTCTGAAGCAATGCAAATATTTGAATATCACAAATTTAATGAAAACAAAGAAAAATCTGAATTACTGGATGCAATACGCAAGTTATTATGGACGTGTGGCGGCAAATTTAAATTTTGGTATTCAACAAGAGAACAGAATTTTAATAAAAACTATGCCGCGGGACACACAGCGACAGCTGCACCAAAGTTCTACAAGTGTGTGGTGATCGAACTATATTAATTTCATTCTAGAGCACAGCAAAATTACCCATAGCGGGCGTTTTAGCACGAGCGGAGTTTGGGGCTCCTGGTTGTGGCTGTTCTCCCCCCACGACGTGATTCTATTCTATCGGCAAGCATGCCGCCCAGCACCCCTCTATCACGAAGAAACGTGCCGCGTGAGCAGGCCGTTACGGTCGCAAACTCGTGGTTGGAAATCACGGCTATAAATAAGCTGACAGCGCACGTCATCCCGACCGCTCCCCGGACTTCTAGTCTAAATCTGCGTCTTTTGTGCAGATGACGCAATAAATCTCGCTAGCTCGACTAGGAACCGCACACTCCGCTTCTGCCACGTATTTCGGTGTTATTTACCTCAAATCCATTTTAAATGTTCAATTTCTATGACTCTGATGTTAACGACAACTGAACAAGTGATCAAAAAGAGCAATAAACAACATTTAATTTCCCCATATAATCTTGTGAAATTTTAAACAACAAATAATTCTTATGTGAGATTAAAATTGGACGTCAGATAATTTATACGATGGAAACATTTATCAACAAAATATTTACAGCAAAGATAAAAAAACAAAAAAGATCTGGTGTGAAGTAACCTGTGAAGATAAAATATTACGTGAGGTTAGAAACCGCAGAGCATGAAAATTTACGTTCAATTTAAATTATACCACAAAGAAACTTACTAAAGTTAAAATTGTGAGATAGAGAAAAATTGTATGAGGTGAAAATTACAAAGTTAACAAATTTACAGTTTCTACACTTTATCAGTACCTAGTAAAATTTTACAACCGCTGCTTTGAAGGATTATCGAACAATGCAGGGGGATAATGACGCCAATAAAAGGAGCGTGCCGCCAGTGTATAGTGGGCTAGAAACATCCAGGGTTGCATTCATAGTTAACTTTGAAATACCAATAAAATTTTTTTAGATACTGATGTAGTGTACTTACTGTACATGAGATGAATATTTGCCACACTTTATCAACGCTTCAAACAAAGAGTTTACCTTATGTTCAATTATGCCACACTTTATCAACGATTCAAACAAAGAATTTATATGATGTTACATTATGCCATGATGATCCAAGTGATTAGTTGCTAAAACAATTTGTTCTGACGGCAGTGGCGTAAATAGAACCCCCGCAGACCCCGCAATGCGGGGGGCGCAGACCATACCGTAACCGATATATTTTTTTAAAATGTCCAAACGAGTAAGTACATGTTTGTATTACTTTTTAAATTTGGTGTATGGAGGCGCTTACTATAAATTACGGGGGAGCGCAAATGGAAGTTAGCTACGCCACTGCCTGACGGCCCTGCTGACGGTTTATATCGTAAACTGTTTACCCCAAACAAAGCACATGATAAATAAACACAAAAATATCCAGTCAGCGTTGCTAGGAATAAGCGTCTCGGTCGGTGATGTAATTTTCCACGTTGCGAGGAAATGCCTCGGTGATGTAATTTTCTACGTTGCAAGAGAATAGGTCTAGGTGATGTAATCAATCTTTAACGTCGCGAGGAAATAGGTCTCGGTGATGTGATCTTAAACGTAGCGAGGAAATAGGTCTCGGTGATGTAATCTTAAACGTTACGAGAAAATAGGTCTGATGATGATAACAACGAAGTCAACTACCTAAGGAGAGAAATCTTTAATGCCCCCGTCAGTTCACGATATTATGAATTTTGTTAATTTAACTGCCGTTAATGAACTATTAGCAATCTTGTGTGAAGATTTTAAGAAGTGTTATAATTAGAGAGCGGAAAATATGCACCAAAATTTTGAGAAATATGATCATATGATATGCACCAATTTTATGGAAATATGCAATAACTTTCTTAATATATGCAGAGATATGCAGATGCATATGCTTCAAAAATAAAAAAAAACAAACTAAATTTATTTATAAAACACAAAAACAGGGTTCCCGAGCTTACGTTTTATTACAAAAAATACATACGATAAATCACATTGCGAAGTGTTTAATTACATCTCACTAACACATAAATCACGTTTTTAAAGATAATATTCTTATACTAAAAAATAAATATGTATAAATGGAACAAATTAAAAAATAGTAGTAATCCACTATTTAATTACTATTTTGGTAACAATTTGTTTTTAGATATTTTTCGAAATATTCTAACAAAAAGTTTTTCCGGTGATTCTAAAGTAAGTATATGTATTTGTAAATAGAAAAACTGCGTACTACGTCCACATATGTAAAAATACATACCGGTTTAGGGCAGACGCGACAAAACACAGTTCGTTCTTGAAGAATAAGTTCAGGGAAAGGTTTAATCCATAAATTAATTTGAGTTATCTTCGACATATTGATACACCTGTATCCCTTTAAATGCTTTCAATACAAACTCACGATGAAAAATAATAGTATAAGGTCCCTTCGACCACTAAACGTACCACTTAACTAACGAATAAAAATATTGGGAATGAACGGTATTTCCAAAAGTAATTAGGGCGCGAATTTACCTGGAAGGATGGCTTAACACCCAGTGGTGTCTCCAAACTACCATAAAACCCAAACCTTTCCTAGTTATTTGAAGCTCAGGACAATATTTGCAATATGATCCATAAAATTTCGTCTTTCTAGAAAAATGCCGATAGAATGACATCAATAATTTTTTTTTCAAATTAGCACAAAAATTGATAAAAATGCAAAATATGCACCCGTTCCGTGAAATATGCAGCAGAAGCCAAATATATGCAAATATGCAATTTTTTTATAGCTGTATTCATTTTGAATTAGCATGATTCGTTCACATATTAAATATCAAGACTTATATGCAAAAAATAACGGATATGCAAATTTCATAAAATCCGCTCTCTAGTTATAATGTAACACTTTTGTATTGGCATCCAGAAACGATATTCGTAATTAGACAAACAAAATCAAACGAGTGAATTTCATGAAATCTCCTAGCAAGTGTTTGTCTAAACAAATCTAATGTCTGTTAAATTGTGTTAGAACCAGTTAATGATTAAAATCTTAACCTGATCGGTGAATTTCCAAACAATAAAACAAATTTACAGCACGTGTAGCGTCGGTCAAAAATTAGCACTTTTTCCGATTAGGAAGCCCCAAGAATTAGCTGTCCGTGTTGAGGAAAACGGTGGTGTTGTCGTCGTTACGATTAATTGTCGTTAAACAAAGGCTTCCTCCCTTTTATTAACTACCAAGCCAACTAATTTAACCTAGCTAACTTACAACGTCTTTTTCATCATGCCCGCACACACAGAACCAAACCAGCAATGACGCTTTCACCTCTCTACCAAGACGCCATTTTCTACGAACCCTCTAACTAAAATCCCCAGCAGGACTACCCACTATCCGAAAGTGCTAACGTGCACATGGTTGCCTGTGTTTAACGATATTTTTTTGATTGAATTTTTTTTCAAATTCAAATTATTCAAATGTGATTTTACGTCGATGTTAATTAATTTCAGCGCAAAATTTGATTCAAATTCGGTCATCTAAGGTAAAAAAAAACTAGCAGAGATTTATAAAAAACAAAAAAAAAGATTTGGTGTGAAGTAAAACTTGTACAAACAAAAACTTACGTGAGGTTAGTAACTGCAGAGCATGAAAAGTTCCGTTCAATTTAAATTATAAAACATAGAAAATTACTGAAGTTAAATTATGCCACACTTTATCAACGATTAAAACGAAGAATTTACATGATGTTAAATTATGCGTTGATCCAAGAGACTGGTTACTTAAAACAATTAGCTTTGAGGGTTTATATCGTGGACTGTCGGCGATGCAATTTCCAACGTCGCGAGAAATAAGTATGTCTTGATGAGTTGATGATGATAACGATGATAACTGCCTAAGGGGAAAAGTTTAATCCCCCCGATACCTCAGTTCACGATATGAATTCTACCGCACTTTCACGGTCCTTTTCCCAGAGTAGAACAACATTAGATTGATTTAACTGCTGTAAATGAACTATTAGCAATCCAGAAACCCTTATTTATAACTTGATAAACAAAGGATGAGTCCTGACTAAGTGAATCTCATGAAATCTCCTAGCAAGTACGTGATCTAAACAAATTCCTGACTGTTAAATTGTGGTAGAATTAGTTAACGATTAAAATCCTAACATGAACTGTGAATTTACAAACAATAAAACCAATTTACACCACATGTTGGCGTCGGTTCAAAATTCACTTATTTCCGCTTGGAAAAACCGCAAGAATTAGCTACGCGTGTTGGGGAAGCTGTGGCTTCGTCATTGGTTCGATTAATTTTCGTTAAACAAAGACTTCCCCCTTTTATTAACTACCAAACCAACTAAATTTAATCTAGTCTCCTTACCGCGTGTTTTCACTCACCAAAACAAAACAACAGTGACGCGTCACCTACCCTTTTCTACAAAACCAAGCCACCCTCTACCAACCCTCTCACTAGAAACTACTCAGAAATTCCCATAGGAGAACTAAATTTGCACATGATTGCCTAGGTTTAACGGTTTTCTTGATTTGAAATTTTTTTTAAGCATATTTGGCGCAATGGGAGTCCTTGGTTCAGGTGAGTGTACTGTATCGTCTGTGCGAGAACGCCAATGGTACAGAAACTGGTGGTACCTTTTGCTCTACAAACTGAACTTATCAAGCAGTTACACAGTAGCGATTACGGATTACGGTGGACACTTGGGTGTAATTAAGAAAAGTTCAGGATCGATTTTATTGGAGAGGATGTTGTAAGGATCCAATTCGAATTTTTAAATTTCAAATGAATTTCGCGCGCGCAAGAAACAGTTGGTGAGAAGAAGAAAAGAAGGTTGGCAACCAACCCCAAAGAAACAGACATGCGCAAATGTTAGGGTGTTTTTGTCTCGTGTAAGATCACCCACTTCCTTTTGATCGCTTGGAGAGAACAGACGACTTCTTTTCGAGCGCTTCGAGCAACAGGTTGTATTTTTAATTGTGAATTATTCTGTGCCTTTTGCTGTTGTGTTTTGTTTTTCCAGTGTTGATCCAGTTCCATTGGAAAACCTAGCAGCCACCGTTGAGCCATTGGGTGTTCCTGATTTCTCATCGTTCTTACGACGAGGTTTTTGCGTTCCTTTTGGCGGTAAGCCGTGTCGAAATCTTCGCATCTTTGGAGAGGTATGTTTTGAACACCTGTTTCGCGGCGAATTTCAAGCCCCGACGATGCTTCTGACCTCGTGACGCAGCGACGCGTGCGCTTGTTTTTTCCACTAATCTCGTTTTTTTTTTACCTTTCATTTAAAATCCGTTGCAGTAGGGCTTTACAGGAAGTGATTTCTAGTTCGGGCCATGCTTTATTTAGCTATATTTGTGAAATCTGTATTTTGGATGGCGGCAAACGAGTTGTTATTTTCACCGTTCTTTGTTCAGGCAGCGGCCATTTTGAAGCGTCCATTTTGTTTCTTTTAAACGAGCACATGTTTTAACTGAATCTATTGAACAAATTAACAAACATTGTGGGTCATGGGGGGACGTGCCTTCTATTCCTTTTATTTAGCCCATCGTTTATACAACGCCACAGGATTCATCGTATTTTGCATCGCATATTTTCGACGCCTATTATTTGGAATGACGAATTCGTCCAACGCCATTTTGCAACTGCAGCTTGTCTGCCATGTTTGTTTATGTGTTTTGTTTGGGGAAATGTATGTGTAATAATGGCCCACAATGCATTTAAATAATTTCACGTTTGAATTTTAACCAATAACTTGACTGGACACGAATTAATATTAATCACATGTAAATCTGTTAACTTTACAATCTTTCACCTCATGCAATTTGTCTTTGTCTCACAGTTTTAGCTTCAGTAATTTTCCTTGCTGTATAATTTGAATTGAACGTAAATTTCCATGCTCTGCAGTTTTGACCTAACATGATATTTTATTTGCACAAGCTTATTTCACACCAGATCTTGTTTTTTTAAATCTTTGCTAAGTTTTGATCTTGTAAATGTTTGTTGGTGAATGTTTCTCTCATATAAATTATCTGATGTCCAAATTTAATCTCAATTAAGAATTATTTGTTGTTGAATTTTCGTAAGAGTGTGTGGCGAATTTAAATGTTGTTTATTGCTCTTTGTTGAAACTTTAACACTTGTTCGGTTGTCATTTAATATTAGAGTCATAGAGATTGAACATTTAAATGGAATTGAAGGTAAATAACACATAACTCGTAGTGTACGTGGGGCGCGCGACTCCTTCTCAAACTGACGGGATCAATCGCGTCACCTGCACAAGTCCGCGGGTGTTGTATAGCTTCAGGGGGCGATCGCGGGTTTTTAACGCTGCCGGTTTCGTGATAGCCGGGACCCCACTACGGATCTGCGATCGTAACCGCCTCGTTTCGCAGGGCACGTTCGTAATGGAGAGATGCGTGTGAGCAGGCGTTGGTGTAGATAGAATCACCGTCGTGGGGGAGAACAGTGACGATCAGGAGTCCCAAACTCTACTTGCGCTACAACGCCCCCTCTGGGTATTTTGCTGTGCTCGTAAATGAAATTGATATATTTTGTTCTATATTTTGTTCGATCGCCACACTCTTATAATGATTCGGGTTCTGCCATCCAATTTACATATGTGTAGGGGTTTGTATTTGTTCGGTTTTCGTATGTGTATGTCTGTCAATTCGCGAGTGTTTTTCTTTCAAATATCTTAAGGTGTTTGAAATGTAATAAAATGTCGTCCGGGAATAAAACCAAGGGGGTTTTTGCGCTGAGGGGTAAATCTTCGCAGCGTATTTCCCCCTGTGAGGGTGGTGCCGTTTCCCCCCCTCCAAAACAATTTCTGTTAATTATTTCTTGCGCTCTCGACAGTGTATGCACTTGTATGAAAGAACTTCTTCCCGCCATTTTTCAAAACAAAAAAAAAAAAAAACACACAACGTAGGTTCTCATTTGTTAGACGATCACAGCCAAGGCCAAACTTTGAATTTTTGAATTTTTCGCGGGCCTTTCAAACTGTTTCAAGGTCAAATTTTAAGGCGGGAAGTTTGGGTTATCACAATGTAGAGAAAATGTGGAAGATTATTGTAGAACATGTGACGTTTGCAACTCTCGAAAATGGCCAATTACTCGCAATCAAACCAGAATGCAACAATTTAATGTCGGGTCCCCTTTGAAAGAGTAGCAGTAGATATTTTGCGTCCTCTGCCTGTCACCGGTCGGATTGCGATTTTTAAAAATCCCGCCAAAACCATGACGTAAACACGATAGTTTTTCTACTAAATTATCATGGACAAATAAGCCTGAAAACAATAAATAAAACATTAAAGAGTAACCGTTTGTGTGTCAATGTGCCACTTATTTGAAAAACGAACTGTGATACAACAGCCTCCTTTCTCAAACTTTTCGTCCATTATCCAAAAATGTAAAATGCGCCTCAGATATAGTCGCTACTTTCAAGATTACACCTGGAAGAAATACGGTGTGAAAAATAAAAAGTCGTGTCAATTTAATCTCCTTTAAAAAAGTACCTTTTTAATTTCTTTTTTCAAATGGTCACACAGTTGAGACTACTTACAAAACATAATTTATCTGATGAAAAAACCAAACAAACACGTGAAAACACTTCCAAACATTCGTTACTAATTCAAATAGTTACATATATAAAAACAAATCGCTGACACGTTCCTAAATTACACTTCCGGTTCGCTATCACTTTCTTTATAATTGCTATCGTCACTGTCTTCACTCAGCTCGACACTGACATTATTTTCTTGCATTTGCGCGTATTTGTCAACGACTTGCTTCATTTTCTTGTCACCTTCCTGTAAACTGTCCTGCAATTTGGATTTTAGGTTTTCATCCGTATTTGCGGGGTCTTCGTTCAAAGCGATAAATCCGCAATGTACTTCGTACAGCTCCTTTTTCCGTCTCATCTGCAACAGGTTCCCCATCTTCGTAAAACACTGCTTACTCTCTTCTTTAATTTCCCCTTCTGATAAGCCTAGGTTGTGTTTCGCAACACATTTTCGTATACATTTCTCAATTTCGTGGTAACTCGGGAATTTGTTGTTTTTGTACGACTTGGTGATAGCCCTGTTAATTTCGTTATACTTGGAAGACACGAACTGGATCCTCTCGTGCAGCAACCGCCCAGCATACGGACTCCTTTCCAACAGTTGGCAGTACTTGGCATACACCTGATTCAGTCTTTTCGAGTACCTATCGATCTGCATATACGTCGAATCGTCCTCGTCCTCAAAATTCACTTCAGCATTCTCCAAAATCTTCAGTCTTTTCAACAATTTCTTGCAAGTCTTCTCCAAAATCTTCAACTTCTTGAGATGCTCCTCGGGCACTTCGATCGCGTCCCCGTTGATATTGTCCAACAAATACGAGTACATCCTCTGGAAAGCCACGACGGCCTCGGGTGCCGAAATCTTCGCCGTGGATATGTACTCCTGCAGCATCTTCCTCAAGTTAGGTTCCCCATGTATGCTGTCGCACTTATCGAAGTTGTTCTTTATTTTCGGGAACTTGGGCAGCACTTTGCTTTCGTATTTCGAGCCTTTTAGCGACTTGGCGCAAGTTTCGAGAAACTCGTCCAGGAGTTTGTGAGCGTCCGACGCTTTCGACGTTGACGGTCTGTTCAAGAGGTCGTCGTTTTCGACCGTGCTGGTCTTGAGCGCTGGTTTTGGCTCTAGTTCGGGGGAAGTTTCGTGATTTGCGTGGCCGTTTTGCTCGATTCCGTTTTGCTCTTCGCGGTTTTGGTCGGGTTGTTTGGGGGAGGACGGGTTCGGTGGAGGCGCTAGATTTTCTGAAAGGGATAGGTTAGTTTCTGGGTGACTGAGAAGACGTTTTACCTTCTGTTTCCGAGTCGGAGGCCACGATCAGGCAGTCGCTGCTAGTATTGACATCTTCTGTTGAATAAAATACAAATATCAACATACTGCGACGTAGTTACAGATTTTTTTTTTTATTATCGGGGCATTTAAAACAAATTTGCATTTCAGGCAGGCCGTCACAACACTCCCCCACAAAAAGTAAAAAGTTTATGCAAAATGCAAATTAGAACTATATTCGGTTGTCATGGATTTCACTCGTGAATCTTGCAGTATGTAGTACACAAACTGGTACATTAAAACATAAATTGTAAAAATAGCTTAGGTCATTAACAATCTATTTGAGTTAATTATTCCGAAAAAAAAACATCAATTGCTATAGATATAGTAATAATACAAGACATACTTGTACATAACGGTGTATAATGACTCTGTATACTCACTTTGTTCATCAGCGCACTCTTCCAAGGACTCATCTGTGAGATTGACAATGTTGTTTTCGTTTTCTTTACCTGCAAAGTCTGTTAACAATTTTAAAGTGAAGATCAACGATCATAAAACTATACTTTTTTCGTCGCTTTCAATGACGATGGTAAGACGACTTTCTTCAATCTTTTGCACAAACTGTTTTTTCTCTAAAAAACGTATTTACACAAATTATCTTTTTATCTAATTGACTTTTATAAGCTGACGTTTGTGAATTCTGAATTTACAATGTTTAAAATTTTTTACAACTGGGTACCATGAATGTCAAAAGACTTAATTAAAGCCACAGATCAGAAACGTCACCTTATGACAAAAACTGAGATTTATTTTCGTACCTGGACATGGAACCGCTATAATGTCTGTAAGCTTATTTACTGAAACAAAGGGATAAAATTAATAATAATAAAAATTTTTATTATTTGAATGCACACAAATCCATCCATGATTAATTACACTTATTTATAAACAGAATAACTTCAAAGTTGCCTATATTCAGTGAAAATTTCATTGATAAATTCATGAAAAAACTGTACTTGCAGTACCAAATTTCCCTCTCATACTTACACTTTTCAAAGACATCAAATTCTAAAAAATACCCCAATTTATTATAAAAACAAAAACTTCAGTCTGTGTAGTCTTACCAAAGCCGGCCGGTTTAATTTTCTTTGGTGGAGGGCTCTCACATTCATCATCCGAAGACAGTAAAATTATATCATCAGACATGCTTGTACTTTTGAGTTACGTAAAAATTACGTTATTTGATAGTAAGGACTCGACATTTGTCAAAGTTTACACAAGTACACACATGTTTGGTAGACTGCAAATAATTTGTTCTTTAAATGAATGTTGATAACCTCACAAACTATGGAATGACATTTGGTGACGTCACCAAGCCCCCGATCCAACTATTCAGTATGAAAATCCCTGCACTCAAAAATTTTGCGTTTTTTAAATTAAATTTCCGACCGAATCAAAAACGAGGTGATTCTTTACTTTAGGGCCCAGTTGCTTGTCGAAAAATGCAACTTATATTCATAAACTACACCATTCCGAGGTCAAAAATCACACAATCACTCCGATATAGAATTACGCTCTCCGAATAGGAGTAACCTCACAGTTTTTTTCGTAGAACAAGCAACAACCAAACCCAGAGGTTTAGGTTGGTACTTCTTGTTGTCAAATTACCGGCAACTGTCAAAATCGTCAAATCTCTCAAAGTTTTAAAAGTTGAGTGATCCTGTGTAATTATCGTTTAAATACAATATAATGGCAAACAACAAGATATTATTAACCCACGGTGAACGCTTGGGTATTAGAGACTCCGCCACCATTCAGTAGGTAGCATTTCAAATTCACGCACAAATTTTTAAACTTGTGTTTTCAGAAAAGCTGATGCCTTTCTTCGCACTCTCAATTCAAAACCGTCGTCAAAAACAGTTAGCGACACCGCAAAAGTAGTCATTTGTCTAGATTTAGCTGCCATGAATTTGGGTATCCCTTTCGACCAGGTAAGAAAAAAAATTTAGAGCATAAGAACTGGTCTAAATGTTTATCATACTAAATCAAGTTTTCGTATTAAAACGTGATAAATATATTATGACATTTTATAACACTTTATTTTTTAAATTTGCTGAACTAATTTTGCAAATCGCGTGCTGACCTCGTTTGCTCAACATATTTTTTGATCAATTATTGATTTACAATTAATTCCATAAGTTTCAAACTTCATTGGGTGGAATTTAAACCTTTGGGTTATCAAGGAGAGTTTACGCCCTTGGGCCCAAAACTTGAAAAACTACCATGCCAAATCTTTTATTTATTTATTTATTTTTTTTTTTTAATTCATCGGTAATTGAGGATGTTCTTTAGTATGGCTTGCAAATTTCTTATTTTGTGACCTTTGGACAAAATTTTCTCAAATGCTACTCCCAAAATCTCTTAATTTTTTGTTAATTGGACTTGAGCCCTACTTTCTGAAAATTTGCGTATAAAAAAATTTCTTCTAACATGTTTTATTTAGTTTTTGACAAAATTTTGGTAGAAACAAAGTTAGGAAGTTTTTAACTACACTCTTTTAATGTTATTCCTTTTTTAACCTTTTTGTTTCTTGGACATAATTTAATACATATTCTGTTTTAAAAATATAGAATCTACCCTAATACCCTCTCAACTATCAAAGCTTTTAATTTGAGCTTTAACTTTCACCTGCTTACAAAATTTGCGGTACCATGAGTTTTGTTTAATCTCTTTGTCTTTTATTGAATTTTTTTTTGTAAATTGTTCCACCACCTCATAAAAGGATTATCCCCTGTTTTGAGGGGATGCACTCATTCAAATCGAACCAATTTCTACGTGACATTCTTCCGATGTGTAAACATAAACACTTTCAAATTGTTTTTCTTATCGAGGATAACCTAAGGACGTACAGTAATGGAGTCCATTGGGTAATTTGGTACTTATAAATTTTCTCGATATTTCATAGGGAATACTTCCCTAGATCTAGAAAAGTTATAATTAACCAAATGTGAATTACAGCATCGAAAAACCAAATAAAATGTAGGATTTTATTCAATAAACGGAAGTCAGAGCAATAAAAAAGTCTGGACCGTCGGCATTGTCATCCGGTTATTGCAATTCGTAGAAAACATGTTTTAGTTTAGTTTGTGTTTCACCGTGATGTCTACAGGTTGATAAGTGTAATGGCTATTTGTCTTAAATTACAAGTAGTGTACAGGGTGTTCATTTTATCTGCTCACGCCTGACAATTTTTGCATAGGCAACATATTATACACCTTACTTACCATTTCGTCTAATTTAATATTTTTTACGTACTACTTGAAAAAGTATTTCTACATTTGAATTAAACAGTCCTTGTTTGTGATAATTAAAGTGCAGACACCCAAGATGTACTGTTTTCAGGAAGTAGCTCTGAAATTAACTAGCCTGCGAAAAACCGTATATCAAAACACTTTAAACAACGTCCAGAAAATACTCAACTTGGACAAACCTATAAGCATCTCCGAGTTATGCGTACAATTTAGCTGCCCTGAAGCGAAAGAAATGGCTTTGACTATTTTAAAAAGCTACCAGGAAAAAGACACAAAGATCAAAGACATCGAACATCCGCAGTACGCTGCAGCAGCCGTGTACACAAGTTGCAAGTACTTTTACTCACTTTGTATTTCATTACACTTGTAAGTTTGGCTTAGGCTCAATGGAATTAAAATAGACAAGACCAGCTTAAAATTGGTAAGTCGGCTTAAAGTAGCTGAATGGAACGAACTAGTCGACGAGTTTAGTAAATTTGCGGCTGCTGTGGGGTTGTCTGGCACGAAAAAACGCAACATCAAGAAGAGTGCAGTCACGGAAGACAAGATAGAGGAGAAAGGTAAGTTGATGCGATTACAGTAACGTCTTCAGTTTACATGTTGCTGTATTTAAGATATATACGCAACGACGAAAGCGAAGGACAAAGAGGAGGTCGCTGAAGAGTACGAAGTGTGGCGAGAGAGGATCTTGAGGGAAGCGTCCGAGGAAATATTACAAAGAGAAATGAACGAATGATTACTTTTTACTGCATGTTTTTTTAATGAAATTTAATAAATAAGATTAAAATGTAACATTAACAACATACAATAAACTACTACTAGAAATGCACGGAGGAGTTCGATCTGTTCGTACTCCTGGATGACATTCTGGAAAACGCAGATTTCGAACTCAACTGCGGGCGGAATTATTGTTTAGTTGTACTTAAATCATATATTATAAACGTACGAATGTAATTGAACTACCTTTGGCACCCGATCTCCTTAACTGTCGCAATCTTTTAAACCTCGAGGCTTTACGATATTTAGTTTGTTTGGCCTTTTTCTCGATTATGTGGCGAAGGCATTTGGTAGAGTTGGCGTTCACCTATTATTGTAAACCAAGATATATTGCAACATTCTAGCAGTCGAACCGATTTAGTTAATATTGCCCAGCGAGTCATTGCCGAAACCTTAAACTACGAACCAGAACGACTAAAGAAATAGCTCGCCGTGAAAAAGCAATATTAACTTCCACCAGGTCGTGCGTTAACATTAATGAGCATACTAATTCGCCCATCTCCTCTTCTTGCATCATCATGTCATATTCGTCGATATTTTTAGCGGGAATAACTAACAATTGCGTTGGTACTGATTTTTCGATGTTGAGATGACTGTTCGTTGGCAACATCAATTTTTGAACGGCCCTAAAGTTTCGAAAAATTAAACAAACAAACAAAAACACTCGTTTGAAACGCACCTAGGAATATAGCAAGGTGCGGTGTACAGATCTCTGGTGTGAAAATCCACAACGATCCCTTCGATCAAAAGAATGTCTTGTATCATGTCGGACACGACGAAAGTCTTATAGTTGGATAGATCAGGAAGGAAGGCGCGCTCTAGAATATATAGAATAGTTTCTTGTGTGTGGGAGCGATAAAGGGGGGCCGCCATTAGCACCGTCACTGCCTTCCGAAAACTAATAGATTTCCATATTTTGCATTCTAACCTGAAAAAAAGCTTCGTCGCGACTGGAGGGTTGAGTTTGTTTCATACCCGCTGACGGGGTCCTGATCCATCTTTATGGCGGCCTTTATTGCTTCGCGTTTTATAAGATAGATCTCACTGTGAGTTTCGGCAGTAACTGTACCGTCGCAAGGCCGATTGGTGATGGTCGATAGTTCGCCAAGGGTATTCCCAGGAGTGGCGTATTCGACCATGCCTTTTTCGTACCTGGTGGGACAGAGGTAGTCTACGACGGGCATAGAACCCATCTCTTTCAGTTTCTCGATGACCGCTTTGGTTGGCGTATAACTTATTTTAAGCATCCCTAACGTAATACAGCGTATTATAATAGTCGAGAAATTTAAGATCGATCGTCTACCTGTAATCAGAATGCAAATACCGTCCACCAGTTCCCCTTCTTTACATACGACGTTCCCAGGATCGAATTTACGCGTGCAGATGTTGCTGTATAGGTAACGCTGAATGTGTGAGTTCTCGCATATGTAGGGAATTTCCTTGAAGATGAGTTTAGGTGACGACGGTTCCTGGTTTTCTATTGAGCTTATGGTTTTGTATTTTTCGGCGAGTGCATCGAGCAGCTTGTTGCATTCAACGTCGTCAACCCATCCTGAGAAAGCCAGCACTGAATTATCGGTTTCGATTTCTTTCTCTTACCGCAACCTGATACTTTCAGTTCGAAGATGTCGTCTCTCAGGCTGTTGAGGACCGTTCTCACGGCCATCCGCGTTTTCACTGTTGAAGTCACCCAAGGCGCTTCTATCTGTAGAAGTCCTAGTTTAGTTGTAACTTCCAGTTTTTCTTGTTCAATTTTTTCTCTGAGTTGTTCTTGGATCCGGTCGTTATCGACCATGTGAGGAAGGTTCTCCAGGATTTCATCTTCGCCGGTAATGTAATTCTTGCCTAATTCGTAAGCGAGAGCTTTCTTTTTCTCGTACTCGGCACACAGGAACTTTAGTAAGCGATTTCCAATTTTTTTGAAAAGTTTTTCTATCTTAAAGTACGCCAGTATCTGGGTCATCCTTATCAACAACCATGTGTTGTATAGCAAGCTCACATACCAAAATTTTATTACAAAGTCAGTGACCATCATGAGTATTGCTTCCGCCATCAAATATATTAGTAGGTGAACCAGAATGACGAACTCTATTATGTTCATTCGCAATCTACAAGTTATCCATAATTTAGTTCATGGTTCGTTTTTCGTGCAGGATTGATCGTGAAAAATATCTTTCAGTCGTCCCTGCAGGATGAATTCCTAGAAGTTTGCCAACATACTTACTTAAAATATGTTTGAAAACCGTTTTTAAGGCTCAACCATGAGTAAGCCATAATTTTTAAACAAAATTCAGCAATGTATGTACCAAGAAAGAGAATTCTTATTACATTGTTAGTGATATCTTCTGCGTCAATGGAGGTGTCGTGTTCTACGTCAGCATTAGTTGAAGCCTGTATCATATTGAGTAAAACCACTGTATACATAAAAACACAAAAGCCAAGATTACGAACTATACGATAGCAAAACAATTTTAGTTTGTTTTGTGGAGGATGCAGAATCTCCGCTCGAGTTCGTACTAACCCCTGCAGCCGTTTTTGTACAAACGTATGCAAACGATCCTATAAAAGAAAAAAAAATCGTTTACGAAATCGACTGCAGCGCGTTATAACCTCCGAAGCGAAGAGTTGGAAGAGACCATCTAGTTCGATAGCTAATTCTTCGCTGTCCATGGCAACTTCCACAGCTTGCTGAAAAATTCTAGAGGCATGCTTCGAAATCATTCCGTTTTCGTACTGCCTCGAGTAGACCGCTTTTTTCTGTTTCAACAGACGCAGCTTCGCTTCTTTCATCATTTCCTTCATCTCTTTCTTTGAAGGTTCGTTCAGTATGTGTTTTTGGCAGTCGGGGCAATAGGTGAATTTGTATCTTAAGAAAAAATCTTCGTCTTCTTCCTCGTCTTCCTCGGCAGCCTTCGTTTGGTATACCTTTTGGTACGGGTGCTTCAAGTTAGTGGAGTTCATCACGAGCGGCCAGTTAGCATCGGAGAGCAATCTTCAAGACAAAAGATCAAAAAAAGTAGGTGTCTCTAAAGAAAATCTAGTACCTATCCATTTTTAAGATGGCTACAACCTTTGATCTGGTTTCGTGTATGTACTTCATGCAGTTTCCCATGCTTATCTGCTTCGCGACCGACACATCTGACAATCCGAGGGTTTTGAACAGGATTGGAACAAAACTTGCATTAACGAGCAACATCAAAATATAGACGCCAATAGTGTGTACGAAGAGCAAGTCCGTCTTTTCACTTTGTCCTAATATTGTGGTCACATACGTAACGAAAAATGTTACGAGAGGACTTTTGATTCCTCCCCAAGCGAGAACGATCAGCCCTTTAAAGGATATTCCATAACCGAGCCTGCTCAGGATCGGGGAAAACAAAAACATGGAGCAAAATCTCCAAATGCTGGCCATCAGGTAGGTGACGAAAACTATGAAATACTTGTTGACGCTGAGCTGCGAACCATAGACGAGCGGTGGAATTAGGAGTCCGATAGCGATGTAGATTGCGCAATTGTTGAGAAGACTGAGCAACTTCCAAAAGCTTAAGAGAGCGTCCTCGACCTCTTTGGTGAGAGTTGGACGTTCTTTGCCCATCATGATCCCGGTTATGATGCAAGTAACAACTCCGGCTTTGCCCATGTAGTCACCTACATAAAAACTCAAATAACATGCGATGAAACTGAGCATAATAAGTTCAGAGACGTCGTTGTAAGTGAGTTTCATGAAGATGGTACTTAATTTTCCAAAGAAGCAGCCCAGTGGAATGCCTGAAAAGCGACGGTCCTGGCGCTTCTCGATAAACTTGTTGTTGCTGAAAGTCTTACCTATGCCGATCATACGGATGGGGCACATCGCGAATTGATACCAATGAACGACGAATCCGGTGATGTAGAAACGTATGATATTAAACATTACCATAGCGACTGAGATCGTTATAAGAGCTTCTCCTTGCAACAAAATCGATACGTATTTTGTATGCACAGATGTTTCTTTAAGAAATCGCACCACATCCATTGGATAGATAGGAAGGAACATCCCGCCCAAAAGAAAAGCATGGGCAAAGTCCCAGTCCAACACCTGTCGCATCAAGAGTGCGGTGGGCGCGAGAGCCATGATTCCAACTAAGTTTAATGTTAGGAAAAAGTCGCGTTTGTTTTCAGTACTTACCTGGTATTGAAATGATCAAAATTTGTGGTAAACATTTCAGAAATGCGCGAATGTCCGAGCAGAAAGCTGTCGCGAAGAGTATCACCGGCAAATAAAACTCCGGCATGTAGTTAACTGCGAGCCGGTTAATGAGGCTCGCATTGTGCATCCAGTCGTAGTATATACTTCCAACTCCCCATAATAACCCTAGTATTATAGCAAAGATGGCGGTCGGGACAACAATCTGCCAAGTCTGTGGCTTCGGTTAGCGGATGAGGGCTTGGAAATGTGAACACTTACCAAGATGAAATAATGTAAGATGGCGAATATTATGAGCGTCCCAAAAAAAAATATGTATTTGTCGGGTACAGTCGTTTCTGAGTACAGCACATTCTCTTCGGTCTTGCCTTGTTGGAAAGACAGGCAAACGAAGAACAAGAGAAAAACTGGTGTTAGTGGTAGACGCATCGATTTTACGAGAGTATGAATGACACTACAAAAGTGACGCGTCGTTAAGCAACAAGGAAAGTCGAACATCAGATCAATTTATTTACGCGCAATGGAAATGTGATCCATACATTAAAGTAGCGCACTAAAAATTAAGAAAGTGCCGACTCCCGTAAATATTGTTTCAAAATACACAAATTTCGAATAGTTCTTATTCTGTCGGTTGTTGTTTTCGTGACAACTCACTCGAGGACGAAACAAAGGACGTTTCGAAGATACCTAAATTTGTAATCTTATTCTTTCTGTCTACGACCATTTTGGTTGCCAGCCTCATTCGCATAATAGTCCTTGTAAATGCATTTAGGTTCGACACCTGGATTCTGGATTCTGGATTCTTAATTTATGGGGGCTGACCGTAGCCAGCCGGCACTTAGGCCTCGCCTTTGGGCCCATTGTACCTTCCCCAAGTCCATATCAGGGTGTTTTCCCGCTCCTCTACTCGTCAAGCCACCCAACTGCTTGAATGTACTTGAGTAATGCAGAGGGTGGAAACTCCCTGATATTTGCCATACTAGATGTCCCCTAGTATGGATTCCCTGTAGGAGGCTAGGGCTGGACACTCACGAAGAATGTGCTCAGCTGTTTCCTCTTCTTCATTGCATCCACGACAGATTGGGTCTGTTACCACCCCTATCGTATATAGATGTTTGTTAAACTGGTAATGTCCCGTAAGGAATCCTACCAGTTTACGCAGTTTGTCCCTTGAAAGTGAGAGATAAAATTTCGTCAACTTACGGTCTGGTGTAGCCATACAAGCTCTACTATGCCGACAGCTGCTCAACTTCACCCATATCTGCTCATGGCGTCTCTGGGTATATTGCTTTACGAGTTCGTTCGAGAGGGCGACCGAAGGCGTGATTGCCGGTTCGGGTCCCCAGAAGGGCATGCGCGCGGCTCGCTTCGCCATCTCATCTGCCCTCTCGTTTCCTTCGTTGCCACTGTGTCCTTTGATCCAACAAAGTTCCCCACTATTCCTCTGCGTTACATACTTTAGCGTTTGTCTGCACTCCCAAACCAGCCCGGATCGAACCATACAGCTGTCCAGGGCTAGTAGTGCAGACTTGCTGTCAGTAAGTATGCGTATTGATTTGTTGCCGATTTCACGTTCAGCAATGATTCTAGCTCCCAGTATTATTCCCATCAGTTCTGTTTGTAAGACAGACGTGTGGGTGCCGAGAGGTACACTGATTTGTGCGTTCAGTTGTTCGGAGTAGATGTCGGCTCCTGAACCACTATCTGTTTTGGCACCATCGACATAGATATCTATGTCGGCTCGTCCTTCTGAATTATCATTCATTGATATTCTATATGTCTTCTCATATATTAATTTTGTGCCCATTCGGTCACAACCCATCCTTAACAAGGGTATTCTGTTGAACGCCTCCGTTAAGATCCGAGTGTGCTTCGTTGTGCGGCCTTGTTTGTTCCATACTCCCAGAGAGTGAAGTCTTAGAGACGTCGTCATTGCCGCTTCCTCTATGTAAAGGTTAAGAGGTGCTAAGCAAAGAAGAGTCTCCAGAGCCGCTGTGGGAGAGGTTCGACACCAAATAAGCAACTATTTATAATACTAAAGTTGATGATATAAGATCAGGTCAGTGATAAAAACAGTGCGACCGTTTTGCTTGAACTTTGTACAAAAATCAATAGTACCAACTATAAGGGTGGTAGGCACACAACTCTCGGCTTTTACAACCCCCGGTACCTGCTTAAGATATTGTCGTGGAATTTACAGCAGCAATCCTATCTCATTAACGGTTCCAGAAATTTAACACCCCGACTCCTTTTTCTGCCTTTAAGGCCTTGATTTGCCTCGTATGGTGTACCTTCACCCACTACAATTAATTCGCTCAACTGCTTTCCGAAGTCGTCTACGTCAATATTTTGGTTCTCTATATCGCTTTTAGCGTAGACACTGGATTAATGCCAACAATTTTGCCTCAGATACTTTCATTACGGGCGTCGTCTGTGGATGTCTAATGAGACTAATAAAATCCACGTGGGTACGGGTGATTGAAATCGGGCGTAGGTAAAACTCAATAATTTATTTCTTAATAACTGGTATTTACACGACTAACTGTTACAACGATTATGCACAAAATAATTTTCGACACTCGCTGACTGAATTCGATTGAATGAATCTATTCCCGACGGTGGCCTCTATTTAAACCTGTGCGTGCCTCTCGATGGATCCAGAACGCCGTATCGAGAGTCTTCTGGGCCCGCAATCGAGACTTCCGCTTGCATCCGCGCGGCCCATGAGTCAGACTACATACGAGAAGCAACGCGTACATACTAGAAGACGCATAGGCGGCGTATGGGCTTATTTCGTAACAGTATATTTGCTCAACAACCAGTGGCAGACCAAATAATCGAATGTTCTGGTGGAAGCAGGAGATTCGAAGAAGCATCCCTCGATTATATCGTCTCCGAAAACTGCATCGGAGAACTGAGTACGCTAACAAGAAGGGCCTACAACTGCACGATCACGGCGGACACCCACAACCAAGTCTACGTCTACAACGTACCGACACGCGATGTTCGGCTGGAAAGGAACATCTAGCCTAAAAGAAAACCTAGGCCTAGGAGCGTCGCAAAAAAGAATATGTAGACGTACGATCTTTTTGATTTTGTAGAGATAATTTTTATCTGTTTTGTGCAAATAACACTATGTAACAAAATTATAGAAAAATAATATTTATCTGACTTTTTTGTGGTTTTGGGTGTAATTTAGTCTATACTTAGAGAATATGAATTTGGTTCGTACAGAGAATCCCTAATATAAAAAATATTTAACTATTTGTTGTTTAGTGAAAAATGTCAAAATTTTAATTAAAAAAAAAAACGAAAGCAGTTTAATTAATTGGAAATACTACAAAGAAGAAAAAAGGCATAAATTATTTACAAATAAAAATAAAAATGAACCTTCGCGTGGCCCTGGGGCTTGGGAGGGCTGCCACCAATTAAATTATAAAATATATTTACCGTACAAAAATATATAACAACCAGTAAGATGGTTACTTGGTTCTCTTAAAAAACGGGAAATGGCAAATGCTACAGACTTAGGTAAGGTTTCCTCGAAACCATGCTTCCAAACTTGACCGGCAACTTCCGCAGTAAACAAGATGAACCCATGGTTTATCCTGGTTCTTAATAGTTCCTCAAAGTACGCTTCATATGCTACCCAGAACTTTGTCGTAGGAACTATTTTATGTTTCACTTAGTCAACAGTTTTGTAATAACCGCAAATGTAACAAAAAGAAGTTGCAGATAATTTACACCTGCGTGTGGCTACGATTTTCGAATTTAAACGCAAAATACATACATTTTTTATCTTTTACAAAAAAAATTAAATAAATGAAAATAGGGACAGTTCGACCAAACGAACCACAGCATGTCAAAAATTACATCAGAATACAACGATAAATGTGAAAAAAGCAAGATAATAATTTTTTTGTTACACAGTGTAATCAAGGTATCACGAAACAACTACCAATCAAGAAAAAACTATAGTTACTCAACATTCTGATGTCAACAAAAAATTTCAATTTACCCATTTACTGCTGTTCCTGAATTGTGTTTTCTAGTTTTCGAGTTTTAAGATGGGAAAGTTTATAGTCAAAATTATTTTGACAGTCGTTTTGTTGGCAATTGTGGGTGGTATTTTGGCCCATCAGTATGCCATCGATTATCACTATATAATCATTGTTTACAAGGAAATAGAGAATCACCCGTTAGTATCCCCTATGACTCCGCATCTGGTTGTGGTAATGTTCATACTCCTGTCGTTTATCATCCGCATATTTTTGGAGGTGCGTATATATACTTAGGACATATTTCCCGAGCTGATTTTGGTTTTACAGAGTTTCGAAATCTCGATTTCGATCAGCTTTTTCACCGTACTTCTTGGGTTCTTGTGGGGCATAGTAGCAAGCCACGATGTCGTCATCCGCCTAGCATCAAGTTTTATGGCGATCTCATCAGAGGAATGCCTCTTCTTTTACGTTCCGATAATGATTTTCAACATTGCGTTCTGTTTGGATGTGTATATATTCTTAAAAACTCTTCCACAAACTGTGGTGATAGGCGTTCCTGGTATTTTACAGGCACGCGATGTGATTGTCGAGATTGTGTTTTTTAGTGTTTTTAGTTACTGCCATAATATACGGATTTATGGCAAAAGGAGCTATCGAGCCAACGTGGAAGCTAGAGCATGCGTTGATCTTCGGTGTTTACATCGCTCCTATCTATCCAAAAGCGGCCACGCTGATACTCAAACAGCATTCAACGCAAACCAAGCAAATCGCCGTCTTGTTGGAAGCTGAGGCGCTGTTCACTCTGATTACGACGGACGTAATACGAGAACTCAGATCTTCTGCCTTACTAGAAATAACGGTCTGGTGGTACCAGTACGTACTAGTAGCGATATGGTTCATCATGGGAGGTAAGCCACAAACGAAAGGTAAAAGTCTGAACTGTCAGACAAATTTAGGAAACAAGCCATTCCGTTTGACAGTTCGGACCCTTGCCGAATCAACAGGTACTATTTAGAAACTTTTGCGTTCCTCAGGCTTAGTTGCGGGTTTTATGTTCGGATACTTGGGTAAATATTTCTTGAGGAAACTGTACACGCAGAAATACTGCGCAATGATGATTTGTTTTGCCTTCCCGTTCGTCATCTACAGCTTCACAGAAAAGTTAATTACTGGATTAGGCAGCATTCCTGTGGCGGTAGCGGGGGTCATGCTTGGCATGGAACGTACCGTACTTTCAAAAGAAATCGAAGTTTTTCTCATCAACATGTGGGAAGTTGTGGCTTTTATCTTGGACACAGTTATTTGCGCTAGGTCTGCAATGCTGGTAGGGACCTATGTACTTACGTATATTTCTCTGCGTGAGTATTTCGTGGTTCTAGCGGCTTATTCTCTTTATTTTGTCGTGCGCTTTTTTTCCTTTCTCTTATTCTCGTGCGTTATAAGTCGCCTGGGTTACGGGATAGATATGAAAGGTATGTTTATCTGCGCGTGGTGCGGCTTGAAGACACCCTTCAGTTTAGAAATTCTTGCATCTTTGTATGAAAAGGGGAGCACCGAGCTAAACGAGTACACCTTCTATATTCTCGGAATTTACTGTTTGACGCATTTGATCAACGCATCGTTTATGGGCACGCTTTTGGAAGCCTTAGGCCTTACTCGAATCTCTACTCCGCGACAAATGAACATGAATAACTGCATGAAGCACTTATTTGTGAAGAGAGAGAAGACAGTGCGGGTGCTGAAAGAAGACAGGTGAGAGTTTTTTCCCGAAGGAGTAAGTTAACTAGTGTGCAGGTTCCTCGCGGACGCGAACTGGCCCGTTGTTATCAATTCTACCAACCTGAGACATCCTTATCGAACGCAGGTGGACATGGAAGACGATGAAGACGATCTTTTCTTGGGGTATCGATTCACGTATTGTCCCGACTGTCAGAAAGACGTGCCGCAGGAGCCCACAGTGAAGGAATTTAAAGAGATGACGAGGTAACTGGGCATTTGCGTTTTTCCAATAATGACGATTTGTACGCAGAGAGGCTAAAATAAGGGTCCTAAAAGCGAAGAAAATGTCGTACTCGCGCCAGTACGAAAACGGAATGATGTCTAAAGAAGGCATACGGCTTCTAAATCAAGCAATAGAACTGGCGGCGGATTCTAAAGACGCCGAAATTAAAGTGGAAGACCTGTATAACAGATTTACAGAGGAGGTAAAATGTGATGCGTACGAAATCGCTTCTCAGTTTGTGTTTTAGAACTGGTGTCAACGCTTCATTAGACGACATCTCGATCGTATAAGAGAGAAAAAGGCTGGCGTTAGACCCCCACGTACGTACTGGCGTCGGCTTTGTTACCATATGGTCGTAACTAATAGAACATACGAAAAAGCAATGTTTCTGATAGTCTTCTTCCATGTCATTGTTATCGCAGTCGATTTTTACATTAATTCGAATATAATAACTAGACATGAACGGGTGGAAGTAGACGATTCGATAGAACACATCATACAAGCATTAAACATCGTATTCGCGTTGCTTTACGTTGTGGAATTCGTAGTAAAGATAATGGCATTTTCGTACGTTTATGTCTGCGCTCACGGATTTCGAACATATTTCAGGTAAGTTTGGAAAACTCGAAAATTTATCTTGAAACAAAGTTTCAGCTCATTCTGGAACATACTGGACTTTGTGGTAATGTTGGGGTGTTCCGTGCAAGTCCTTCATATTTTAATATTTCATTCAAACGAAACACACAGTACAGAAGTAATGCTAAATGACAGAGCTTTTCAAGTATCCAACGTTATAAGTACACTACGTATTATTCGACTAGCTCGCGTAATTGAAACGTTTTACCTTGACGTGTTTGTTTACATCGACCAGGCTTACGACTCAAAATTGTCATTTACGTATGAACTAGGCAAATCGTATGCCACCACCGAAACAGAAATCTTGGAAATGCTTCCCTACATGATCGATAATAAAGAAATTAAAGAACAGATTTCCAAAAAAATAGAAATAGATCGAGCTTATATAACGAAGCTTTTGGGTCTGGTCCAGAAGGAAAGACCTTGGATAGCGATCACGGTCAAGACAACGCAAGCAATCCGGACCATACTGAATGCGAAGAAAGAAGCGATCAATTTCTTAAAAGCCTCGGGTTGGATCGATTCCGACGACTACTCGAAGTTGATGGGCTTCCTGGAAACTCTGTACCAACAAGTCAGTTCCATCCGAAGAGTTAACCCCAGCCCTCCGAAAGTTATCTTCAAAGAAGTCGCCTGGATGGCGGAGGACGAGCGCGTAATCGAATTTTTGTTCGAAAATGTCACCGTTAAGAGTTTTGAACCTCAAGAAGAAGTCTTCACAGAGGGAACCGTCGCCGACGGCATTTACATCGTGGTCACAGGTCGGTCGGGAACGTTTGCTTTTCGAGAAAGTCATTTGTTTCTTTAAGGACTTTTGATCATAACTTATAACCCGGACCCGAATATACTCGAGGCTTTGAATGACTACGGACGACTACCGGTGGTGGATTATCTTTCCGGAACGAGCTATGAAGACCCCTCTGTTGACTATATAGTTTCTGGAAACTGCATGGGAGAGCTTAGTACTTTAACCGGAAGGTCCTACAACTGTACCATCAAGGCGGATCTTTACAGCCAAGTTTATTTTTTGAGTCGTGGTGTATTGAGAAGAGCCATGGAACTGAGTCCTGATCCTGCTGTCGGGTTGAGTACCGAATAATATTAGTGCGACGTTTAAATAACGTTCTTTTAGGTTGGAGTGTCGCATTTGGAAAGAAGTTAGTGTGAGAATTGCCGTACCGCTGTTACTGTCGACTCCGGCGTACCAGGCCTTCTCTCAAGACCAAATCAAATTCGCACTTGAAAGAGCTTTCGTGCCCGATTTATCTGCATTCAAAACTTTTACCGTCACAGATGTCATAGAAGACATCATCCTGATCGAAGGCGTGGTGTTCGATTATAATACAACAAACTACTATTTCGCTCCCAATTATATACCGAGGTCGGTAAAACACGTTTACTATATTTCGTTTTAAACAGTAGTTACGCTTCTGTACAGGACGGTCCAGAAGCTGATTCTGCCAACAAGCAGTCTTATGCAACTTCCAATCCAGACAGAAACCAAACTGTTAATAATCCCCGTACAAGACGTAGAAGAAATAGAAGTTATGCTGATGGCCGAAGAAACTTGTGAACTTGTAAGTAACAACGATCCATCGACGAGCGCATGAAATACTAGGTTTTTAGATACGATCCCTTTCTTCGAGCAAGTGTCTCCAACACACAGCGCAAGATCAACTCAAGAGAAGAAGACGACAAAAAAGGGGCGACTTGGGGAGCCAAAGTAGTTCACGCGGGAGACGGGCAATTGCATCGAGCATAGGAACATCTGTCAGTCGTTATGCCGCCGTATGTGTTTTTAACGTTTTAAGCGCTGGATTGAATTATTTATTCACAATCGGTCAGTAATGTCGATATCAAACTTTTGAAAAGTTTGAAAGCGAGCTCTTTCTAACTTCTCTTCCACCTTAGACGTAATTGAATAAATGTACGCCTCTCGTTAAACTATTACAGTTCTCTCTACAGAAATGGAATGTTTTCCGCCTCGGTATGTGATGTACTAATAACTTTGGTTTCAGAGCACCAAGTCTACCGTCATGTCTTTCAGAAATGAAAAATCTGAGGTAGGTAGCGTATTTATACCGATGGATGACAACGATCGCTAACTTGACGAAACAGAGGGATGTCTAAGCTATGCGAAAATGATGAATTTGTGAATTTTTTGATTAACGATGAATAAACGCTTTTGAAACTTTTTTTTAAATTTTCATCAATGTCGAGTTATAGGCGATTGGGCTGTCAAGGAATGGAAGTGATTCTGCCAAAATGAAGTGCGCCAAGTGCAGTGCAATCAATATGGAAAACGTCACGGCAGGTAGTCTCATAGCAGTTGAACGCTCATCAACACAATAAATGTTGAATTTACGTAACAGTATTTATTAACAAGACAAAATCCATTCATAAGCATCTAACATTTAAAAATTACAAAAAGAACAACGACTGCCTGCGTCTGTTAGTTGCCGGTGGTGGTAACGTCTCCGAATTTGCATGCGCTTTATTTTCAGGAACTTCATCTGCGTCAATCTTTTTTTCTACTTCCTCGGCTTGCATGAAAACGCTACCTGTTTCGGACTGGCTCGTTGTAAACATCATGGACGACGCAGAATGTCCGTGCTAAAATAGTAAATTATTACGGACTACTTAATTTTAAAAATTAACTATTTACCGAGGCGGTAGACTCTGCTTTCGAACTTGTTGTACTGCCGGTTGCTCCGCGCCTTTGAGCTAATTCTCTTCGCATTTGTCTATTTCTTCTCGAATCACCCGTTCGTCCTTTGACAGTGTGTTGTAGACACTGACTAGTTGAACTTGTGCTAACCTACGGCTGTAATAGTAACGTGTTATCGACAACTGTGGTTCGCATACATACCAGTTCGCACGTTTCCTTAGCTAACGCCATCACATCGTATTCGTCGACGTCCTTCGAAGGCACTATTAACATTTTCGTTTGTGAACTACCATAAAAAGCGGCATTCATCAAACTACTAGCCGACAAAATTAGTCTCTGTACCGTCCTGTTACGTAACGGATTACGAAACAATGAGAAATGAACTTGCCAACTAACATACCTAGGGATGTAGCATGGGGCAACGAACATATTTCTGGTATTGTAATCGATAACTACACCTCTGATAAGAACTATATCTTCTATAATTTCCGTCACGGCAAAAATTTTGTATTTCCTGAGATCTGGTACAAACGCTCGTTCTAGAGCGTATTTGATTTGATCTTGAGAAATAGTTTGGTATGCTGGAACTGACATCAGCAATGGAACAGTTATTCGCAAACCGACTTCCTTCCATATTTTCGCCGCCAACCTAAACGACAATTATTCAGATGTGAAAAATTGAACACAAATTGTTTAACCCTGTAACAGGATCTGGATTCATTGCCATAGCTCGTTTCAGTACGCCATGAGTTAAAACGTAAACTTGACTGTGGGTGTTTGCCGTTATGGTACAATTGTAAGGTTTCTCCGTCAGGGTGCTCACCTCCCCTAAACAGTTCCCCGAAATAATGAAATCTACCACTTCTTGTTCATACTGAGCAACCGACAAGTAGTCCACTATGGGCAAAAGACCACGTTCCTTCAAGTCTTTAATCGTATCTGGGTTTGGTTTATAGGTCATTATCAGGAGTCCTTCCAACAAAGATACTTGTTAGTTGTAATAAGCGAGGAACGTCTCATCTGCTTACCTGTGACGAGAATGTAGATACCGTCGGCAATTTCTCCCTCTGCAAAAACCACTTCATCAGGTGCAAATGTTCTCACTTTCACGTTCTCAAAAAGAAATTCGATGAGGTTTTCGTCATCTGCCATCCATGTCACTTCCTTGAAGAGGGTTTTTGGAGAGTTAGGTTGAACTTTTTGGATGGCGTTGACTTTCTTGTAACATTCATTCAACGACTCTACCAACTTCTCGTATTCGAACGTGTCCACCCAACCTATTTTGGCAATGATAGTGAAAACGCATTGGTCTACACATGTACAGCCTACCAGTGGATTTGAGTTGATTAATCGATTCTTTCATGCCATTGAGAACCATCCGAATGGCCTGGGTCGTCTTTACCGTGATCGCTATCCAAGATCTATCTTTCTGTACCATACCAAGTAACTGCTGCAGTACTAGTTGATTTTCTTCGATTTTCTGCTTCATTTCGTTTCTGATTTTCGTATTGTCTATCATATAGGGAAGCATATCTAAAATTTCTTTTTCTCCAGCAATGTAACACTTTCCTAGTTCGAAAGAAAGCGCTAAACCTGTATCGTGTACTTTGTCCAGAATATGTATGGCATCCTCGAAGAATATTCGAAATATCTGGAGAAGTCGCACTGCACGAAGCAGTCTGAGAACATCGATGACTTGGCGCAACATGCTGCGATCATGTACGTGGGTGGCTATTTTCCACACATCACTTCCTATCGCTAGCACACAAACGACAATAACCACAACATCAATAATATTCCACACCGATCTAAAAACAGCTAATACATGGAAAGCGTTTTGTGTGTAATAAAGTTTACTTGAAATAAGTTCGAAATCCATGGTAGCATACGTAGACCCATGAGTAAGCTAAAATTTTTATTACGGCTTCAATAACAAATATGATGACAAAAACAATCTGTGCCATCATCAAAACATAATCATGTCCAACAAGATCATCATCATCTCCTTCCAATGGAAGCAGCGACGGATTAAAATACATGTCAGCAATAATTACAAACAGGTGTAGTATAGCTATAAGAAACATAATCTTTTCAAATAATGTGTTCTTCAGCACAATTTTATAGCACATGCGTCTCCAATAAGTTCTTGGTTTCTTGTATTTAGAACCTCGGTCCACGATGAATTTTTGAGACTGTTTTCTAACGAATCGTTTGAACCAATTCTATAATACATATAGTGAGATGTTGCACCGGGTGTCTGGAAAATGGCGGATTAACTTCGCTACACTTTTAACAATCAACTGATCAGTCTAGGAAAAACAGTAAAAAAACTCGTTACTTTTTGGTGGAATTCTGATGATTTTTAAAGCTGATTCTTTTGCTATGTTTAATTACTCGTTCATTTTCACAATAATAACAAAGCTTTTAGTTAACATTTCTTTCGCTCATGCGAATACGATTTCAGTTGGAATGTACGAAAATATGGCTATGTGGCGACACAATAACACGTTGGTACGCGGAGAAAGATAAGCTGCTCCGTAGTCTAGTGGTAAGGGCACCCGCACGGCAAGCAGGCTGTGTTGTTTATGTAATAATTTGATAAAATTCCATTTGACAACAATGTTTATCTGATACACACCAACGGTACTTATCAACGAAAATCGAGTAAGCAATTAAAATATTTAACGTATCAAAAATTGTCAGTTTTCAAAAACCTACGTTCAAAGTGTTTGTAGTCAATAATGAGTATGCTGATATGTACATATTTTTTACCATAATAAACCCATCGGAAATCCCATATATAACGTACTAAAGAGTTAATTCGCCATTTACAAGACACCCGGTAGAAAGAGGCTGTAACTAGAAATATGCAGTAAGAATTCAAATAATATAACAAATGTTACGTATACGTTTTGGTAATAACAAGTTTATTATGTATCTAGTAAACATTACCGCTACATGCGTTTAATGAAACACAATTAAAAAATTTACCAACAATAACTAAGAACGGTCAGAACGAATTGACCATCGTCAGAGAGAAAAAGCTAAAAGAAATATACGGGTAGGAATGCGGAGGATGTATTTGCAGTATTTCAAAGAACCAAGGGAAAATTGAGTAGTGCAAATGCAGCCGTTTTAATAATATTCTATGCAGGTGTGACTAGAACTCAACCATTAAAAGAAAGTTACAAACCTCTTCGACAAAATTCTTGCAGATATTTTCTATGCCCATGTCCAGCTCCGCAGAATCCATGGCAAGTTCTGCATTTCTACTCAATATTCTTATTCCTTCTTTGGTCATCATTCCGTTTTCATACTGACGCGAATAACACATTCTTCTTGCTTTCAATATTCTCATTGTGGCTTCTCTACAGAATCGAGAAATTAGCGGCGACCAGAAAAATTACAACACATACTTCATCATTTCTTGCATTTCCTTCTGGGATGGTTCTTGAAGAATATCTTTTTTGCAATCTCCGCACCAAGTGAATCTATAACCTAAAAAACCTTCATCTTCTTCGTCAGTCATACCCGTATAATACGGGTGCGCCATCTCGGTAGATTCTATGACTACGGGCCAGTTAACATCGGCTAGAAATCTAAGCACAGTTTTTTACTACATCTACGTTCTCTTCTTACTTATCCATTTTCAACACAGCGACAGTTTTATCCCTTTTTGCGAAGATATGCTTCATGCAGTTGTTCATATTAACTTGCCGCGCCATAGAAATTTTGGATAGACCCAGAAAAGACAAAATTAGGGTAATAAATGTCCCATTGATAAAGACAGAGAAGAAATAAAGGGCGGTTATGTGAAAGAGGAAAAGTCTTCCATGTTCTGGGTGCACTTTGTACTCGCCCGCACCAGTGGTCGTTAATAAGCCAAAAGGACCTTTGAGCGCTCCCCAAGTGCACACGATTATGTACTTTAGGTTCATTCCGTAGCCTAACTTTTTGAGAATGGGTAAAAATACAAGGAAACAAAGAAATCGCGCCATGTAGGCTATCACGTACACAACAAGTGTCAGCGGATATTGGTACCAAGGGAGTATGGGCCCAAAATTTGTGGCTACCAGCATCGCGCATTTCAACAACAAAACCGTGTCTACAATGAAAGCAGCGACATTCCAAAAGTCAATTAGAAACATGTCGATTTCTTTGGGTAAAGCTGTTCTTTCCATGCCCATCATTGCTCCCATGATCAGTACTGATATGGATCCGCATCCGGAAGTGTACACTTCTGAGAAGCTGTGGGCCATGAATGGCATTCCTAGACATATTAGGTACACACTCAGTCGGTTAGTGCACATTTTGCGCATCATGTAGCGACCGACGTATCCGAAAAGAAAACCAGTAAGGATCCCTAAAATATACGTAAGAATACATACACAGGTACCTAACTGTTTTAGATTTGTCTACACACCAGTAGATAAAACGCGAATTCCCACTAACAGAAACTGGTACCACCATACCATGTGCTGATTTACATAACTCAGTGTAAATTTGTACGTTATATCGACAATGATGAAAACAAACAGCGCTTCACCTTCCAGAAGTATGCCTATCTGTTTTGTGATCGTAGATTGTTGCTTCAATATGTTTACTACGCGTTGAGGAAACGTAGCTGATGCGGTAATCCCGAAAATAATGCCTACCTCTGTGTCCCTCGACGCAGCGATAACGGCATTGGATAAAATTCCAAACAACGTAGCTGAAAGACCATTCACTGAAAGCATCAGTTTTAAAGTTTTATCGATCGACGGCACTACGAGTAATACCAAAAACGCCAATCACAAAGGTTTGCGACAACGTCTTCAAAAATAAAGGTCCGTCCATGCTGAAAGACATCTGAAATACCATCACCGGCACGAAAACAAAATATAGTTCACGTGGACTAATGTTCATGATGTTCGACGCGTGCATCATCACTTGGTCGTAGAAGCAAAACATACCCCAGATGAAACCTACCATGATGATAAAGGCACCGTAGGGAGTAGCAATTCGAAAGTTCTACAACTTTTTTTTAAATTTACGATTATTAAAACCCATCATTTACTTGAAGAGTGGATTGAATCACGTATCCGATAGCCAGGAGACCTGAAAGCATCATCAGATCTCCCCAACTAGGTATCAAGGCATGCCATTCCAAAAGGGGCGATACTTTGTAATTCTCAGAAAATATTTCGTGAAAAATCACCAAGCCAATAAATATAATGAAAATGGACCCAACTATAAGATGCTTAAGTATCTTCATGATGCAACTGCTGGAAAACCGTTCACGAAAACTGTCAAATATAAACAATTTTTGTTTCCCGTTATGGCAAAACTTACTAGATGTGCTCAGGAGTCCTTTTGGCTTATTAACGACCACTCAAGTTAACATGAAAAACGGCATGAACCACCTCCCGCGTGTTTGTGCCGTGTTTGGAGACCCGTAAGGTGGGATGAAGGAATCCTGGAGGTTGAGCCCCCCTTGGTGCAGTGTGATCACCAACGCTGGGCAACACGCCTCTTTGGCCTGGATTTCCACCAAAACGGGAGGTCGGGACTAACCCATTTCAGATCAATCGGCTGCGTCATCGGGTCAGATCGCCGACAGGGATAGTCCTTGGGGGAGGTGTAGTCTAAGCACGAGTAGCCTCACTTGTTGAGGCTGAGTTTACCTGAGGGTCATATCCTTCTGCTAGCTCTGGCGTCGAAGTTCGATGTCCTCTTCTTCGACTTCGTGGTGGGTGGGGACGCAGAAGGACGACATCGAGATCCAAGATATGGATAAAAAACAAGTAAATCCACTGAGGAAATGACTTCGGGAGCACCTCAAACTGAAAACCTAGTCACTGTAGGGTTGCAGCCTCCTAAGATGAAGCGAATCAGCGGGGCTGAGGTAAAAAGGCGGACGAAGGCTCGCTTGCAAGCTAAACCGGGCCCATCCTCCTCCGGGATAAACTCCAAGGGCAAAGGGCAGGCTACAATAGCCACCTCTAAATAACCCGGGGGAAAAAAGACTTCAGAGTCAAAAAAGAGAGTACGGTCTTCAACCTCCACACCTCCGGTAGCACAAAAGCAAAAGAGGATGAGGAGGCAGGAGATTACCTCTAAAGAACATAGCTACAGGGAGGTAGCTGCAACTCATTTCCGTGTAGCTGTAATTGATGTACACACTTGGTAAGTTGACTGCTGACTAGGTGGTGATGGTACAAACAGACACTGGACAGAGAACTTGAACAGTGCCTGGCATCGAGAAGACAAGCAGCCACTTTCAGAGGCATTAATAGTGCGCTCTCTAACACCCATGTGGGAAGGCGCATAACTTAACGTGGTCCCCTTGCCTAAGCTACTAAGGCTGGTGAGGGCGACCGTGTGGATACCGGGACTGGTGCGTCAGAACCAATGGGCTTGCGTTAAAAAATTGCGAGGTCAAACCCGAGACTGCCTCTCCAGGCAACCTCTTTGTGTTTGGTCTTGGGATGGATGACGCCAAAACAATCAGGGAGAGAGAGGACAGGATCAACTATATGCTGTCCTCTTTAAACTTGAAACTTAAGGAGAACGAGGCGTCGAATCAGGAAGGGCACATCCCTATGGCAGAGGGAGAAACCCCAGGGGATGAAACCTCTACCAGTGGGGGCGGGCCCACCTGAGACATAAACCTCGTGTGGCCTAAGATAGGTATGAGATTTTTGGTTGCAGAAATGGCGCTGCAGCAGATAAATTTCATCCAGATTAACCTGCAGCATTATCGCATGGCGACGACTGTTTTGTGTCGTCGTCCAGACAACATGCAGAAGACTATAGCAATAATTCAAGAACCATGGATAGTAAAATCCAGGATCGCGGGGTTGAGCAATTTAAATGGCACTGTTGTTTCAGGTACCACAATAGAATATCCAAGGACATGTATTTACATTCTCAGGAATATTAACGCCGTCCTCCTACCTCAGGTCAGCTCTAGGGATGTGACTGCTGTAGATGTTAAGTGTAACATAGGAAGAGGCAAAGAGCAACTGGTAATAGCATCCGTATCTTACCACAGGGAACACATGAACCATGTCCAACATGGGAGATGGCGAACTTGGTGAACCACTATGACACCGGAAATATATACCTCATCATCGGTACCGATACAAGTGCGGTCTGCTGTGGGGGAGCAAAGATAGTAATGTAAGAGGTAAGAGGAAGAACACTAGCTGAATATCTTTTGGCAACAAATCTACAGATTGTCAACCGAGGCTGCGAACCAACTTTCGTAACATCGCGTAGTGAGTCAGTAACAGATATTACACTAGCTACATGGGATATCTCACAATATATAATGAAATGGCACGTCTCTAAAGAGGCGTCAGTGTCAGACCATAGATGGATTATGTATACGTTAAAATGTATAGACATAGAGACAAAGACGTACAGGAACTGGGCTTTATACAACGAAGAAATGGAAGACAGACTGGCGACCTCCGTACAGTCGATACGAATAGAATATAAATCGACAGAAGACATAGAGCAAATTTTAACCATTATCAACGACTCAGGTTATGAGAAAAGTTGCCCCCTAAAGTAATAAGGCCTGGGCAAAGGTACACCATGGTGGAACCGAAGGCGCGGCCTACTTCAATCGGAACTAAGAAAACTTTTCAATAGAGCAAAAAACACTAAGAAAACTAAAGATTGGGAAGCCTATAAAGAGCACCGGAAAGAGTTTAAGAGAGAATTAAGAAAGAGGAAACGGGAAACGTGGAGATCCTTCTGCAGCGACATTACGTAGACTGCTTCGGCCGCAAGGCTGAAGAGAGTTCTCTCGAAGGACTACACACATCAACTAGGTTTCCTAAAGAAAGAAGATGACACCTTTACCGCTACCTTAGAAGAATCCGCAGAACTTTTGCTGCAGACTATTTTTCCAGGTAGCACAAGGACTACCTTCCATTCTAAAAGGGATGTAGCCAGTACTCAACCTTCCCCGAAGAACTGGGCGCTAGCGGTAAAGGTAGTCACGGAGGCAAGACTGGAGTGGACATTTGACAGCTTTTCCCTATATAAATCTGTGGATGGTATCTATTCCGCCCTCCTGCAGAGGGGAATGAGCAGACTACGTTCTATCTTGTTGCCAATGCTTGGAGCATTGTAAAAAAAGTGACTGGATTTTCCTACAGGAAATCTATACTAGGGGACATCTAGCCTCTGCACCCTCTGCATTACTCAAGTACCTTGAAGCAGTCGGGTGTCTTGATGAGTAGAGGAGCAGGAAAACACCCTGATATCGACTTGGGGAAGGTACAATGGGCTGGCTACGGTCAGCCCCCATAAAATTTAAAATCCATCCAGAACATTGATTCAATGAAGCATGCTCCCTCCTGTCTTTCTAGCTCCATGGTTCCATACCATAAACGGAATAAGTGTGCGACTTTACATTTTCCGCTTTTACATCCCAAATAACTACGGTACGACTATGTAAGATAAGTAATAAGTAATATTCCGTAATAACAAAACGTTACGGAACATTTTTCCAAATCCAAATCAATGCGTGCCTAGCGTTTATATCATAACAACGTTTTGTGCATAGAAACCGGATAAACAAAGTTTTTCGAATTAGAGACGGGTTAGAAATTTTCAGATCAATATCTTCAAAAACAACGAATTTGCATTGTGAGATCTCATCATAATTCCATTTGTACAGTCGGTAAGTCCAAAACGCTCAAAAATATCATCGTGTTACGAAGATATTCAGATTGCAGGGACAATATGGTCAAAATCTGTGGAAGAGTTTTTAAAAATGTGTTTGCGTCGAAACAAAACCTCCGGTAAAGTGTTGGTCGCAAATAGAAGAATATGGTCTAAAGTTTGGATATTGATAAATTCCGCTGGGACTTTCAGTACTTGTAAAGTTGAATGGTAGAATATGGAGTGGTTCAACGTGCTTTCCTTTTTTTTTTTCAGAACCATTGCAACATTTTGGAATTTGCGATTTGGAACTGGGCGTTTTATTGCAGATATTTACGGCAGGCATGGTCCGAACTGGTTTTTTTGCCGTTTACATATTTTTAAAAGCTTTTCGACAAATTTTGGTCGTATTTGCTCTCGGTAAGTTATTTTTGCTGTTGTGAAAAACGTGATTTTTTTCTAGTGTTTTAATCGGATGTATGCCTGGGATCATGATGAAATTCCCAAAATAAATGGAATTGGATCGCTTAGTGTCAACATGTACCTACTTGTGAATAAAAATTTTGAATAAAGTTAAACGTTTTTCTGTTAGAATGTATTCGCTATTTTGATGTTTTATTGGTAGCTCAAAAAACTTTAAGGGTTTGCTTTTATATTATATCCTCTTCGTTTAATTTATTGTCTGTAGCTCGGTTTTGTTCCAGATTATACAAGTGTGGCACGCTACAACGAGGAACTTAAATTCCGCTCTCATTACAAGGGTCTTAGCACGTTTGCTGATTTCTCGATTGCCATATTTTAAATTTCATCACTGATAAATTCACACTTGTCAGCTTTCAGAGTTGTCAGAAAAGCGTTTCAAGCACGGTTTTCAAGGCAATGTGACTTCACGTGGCTGGGACCATCCAGTCATTTTAATTCAGATTCTTTTTTCGCCGTGTGCTTAAATTCGTAATATTCCAATATTTTTATTAATTTGTAACATTTGATTTGCCTTCTCCAGAATGGAGGAATAAACGATTTACCCTCTATTTACGGGCGCTTTCCCAACATACGAGTTCACCACTTTGCATTTGAACGCATTCCGTCAAAAAACGCAGACAGTAGGGTTCGATTTTGATGTACACACGTTCAATGACTTTGAGTGTCTGCAACACACAATCCAAGAACGAAAGACTGACCGCAGAAGAAAAAGAATAACGCGAAGAGAATTAGCTCGAAAGCCTGGGCCAGTCGTTAGTCGTGAAGGTTCTTTAGGAAGTTGTTGCATACCGCTGCCAGTCAGGAACAGGTAGCGTCTTTACGTAAGGCGACGAAGAAAAAAGCCGGTGTCTGCCCGTCGATCTTTGTCTACTATTCGAATGTCTCAAGAGAGGGATCAAGAAACATGCACTTCCGTATTTTGGCAGCTGTTGAATGCTAAGAAAACATGAAATAACCAATAAACTTTGTTACTAATGAAGTCGTAACAAAGAGTGTTACTTTCTTCCCTTGTAATACATGCAAGTATATAATTATAACTTTTATGACCCATACAAGTCGATTCTACTTTCCAACCGCCATTCTCGTGCTACCTCAGGTTTCATTTTCTAACACAATTACGTGCGATCCAATTAAATCCCTAATAAGCAAAGTCGAGTAGGTACTGAACGTGTTTCGCCCATAAATAAAACATTGTCCTTAAACATTCCAATCTCCCCTATCATAATTGCGCTAATAACGATTACATAACACGCCTAATGTCAACTTCCCGTCCAAGTAGAAGGGCCAGTCAGTTCCAACGCTTGCCAAGAAACCCACATCGGAACCTTCTCTCTACTATGAGAAATTTTCTCCACAAACACCATAAATCCACATCTTCAGGTCATGTCAAGTTTGTTATATCAGAACGAAATAAAAGATAAAACTGAACTGATTGCACGAGTGAATGCCAATTTCTATCATTGTTGTGGAGAAGACCCTACAGATAATTATTTTTCTGTGATCGGTCAAAGTGAAAGGTTTCTCAACCGGCGTGTCCAGCGAAATTTGTGCAACTTCTTCGAAAAACAAAGTAAGTCATTAGCAATTAACATATCTTATCGGGTCGTTGGTCATGGGATCGAATGAACTTCGCGATAACGCCACATACTCGAGGGGTGTTTCACGCTACCTGGAGGGTAGGAGAAGTCCGAAATTCAATTCGTTGTCTTGTTGCAGATAGTCCGGGACCATGACCATTGCCGTTCTGCTGCGAAGGTGAGTGATCGGCTTATTATCGATAGCGTTATCATTGCCCCAATAATCGTTGACTTTGGTTGCACAACGAAGTCCAAAGTTGGACTTCGGGTTCACGAGTTATTAGATCGAGTGCAGGGATTATTGCGCCTTATCGGACGCTAAAACGAGCTCCCGGTTTTCGAAATGTTCCCATTTCGTCGAAAATGCGTTCTTCGTACGTCTTCATGAAGACTAATTCGTGCGAATTGGCATAAATAGACTTCTAAAATTAGCTCGTGCTGTGATAAGGTTTGGCAATTTAAGATGTTTACTCGAATTACAACACGAGTTTTTAACATCGGTCATATGATTCTCTGAAACTGATTTATCGCAGAAAAATAGTTTAGGGAAATTTGTACGCAGAAGCGATTTTGGGTCGATTTTAGGCATTCCAAAGATAAAGCTTCTTATTTTTAAATGGATTACGATGTAACCGTTATCGTTAGATTAATTACAATTATTTTCGTCGCGATAAAAGTAATCAAGGTATGCAAATTACGACGATTAACGAGGAGTGTTGTTTTAATTAAAGTTATCATGTACGATCTGGGTGATACAAAGGTGGCAATCTGATACTCGACGTGCGTGGCTTATGGCTAAAACCATCGGCATTTGGCGACTAAACAAATGAAAATTAAAATGATGCGTTTATCCATGTTAAATCCGGATTTGTGTGGCCTAAATACGTACTTTTATCATCACAATACGATTTTTTTTTTATTCATAACATTATTATAACGCAGGTGAAAACCATTATAGCGGTGTAGTTGAAATTTGCAGTCGGGTAACTGTAAGGATAATTAGGGGTTTCTTAGTATTTTACCTGCAGCGGAATTATAAATTGTTCCACTTCATGCGTAATAATTTCGCCAATATGTAACGGAACAATTTCTAAGCGACTGTGATAAAAAAATTAAGACACCTGACGTTCCAATTTTTTTGTTATATTTTTCTAACATTAGAAACAAGTTTTCTGAACACAAATAAGTTTTAATTTTTTTTCAATTAACGCCTGTTTCTCCCTACAGCAATTAATCGCAGATTAAAATTAATCACTAGGATGATAAATAGCTCTATTAAGCCTGTAAGCCTATATTTTAATGTTCATCTTCATGTATTAAATAATTTGCAACAGCAAATAAAAACATGTTTCAAAACAATAGACGTTTGCAGAATTAAATGGTGAAAGTGTTTTATATGAAAAACTATTTACAGTAGAACTCTTTTCATTTTGGCAAGGTGTTGTAAAACTGTACCAATTACAACAGCTGCTATAGTAATTTTGTTATGGACATAATTCTTCAAAACATAGATGAGCACAAATAAACATTTGTCATGTAAGAAAAGACTCCCAGAAGAGTAATAAATCATGTTCCAAGCATTTCGGTATTATATAGTAATCCCCAGGCTCTAATGTTATACAGCAGAATCCCGTTGTTATTCAGTCAAATATTTCAACAAACAAGGTCATAGTGGGGTATTATAAACCGCACTACAGGAGTGCATCCTTAGCCTGGAATATAAAACGTCGGGTTTATATAAAGTTATAGCATGTGGACTAATATACTTACCAGGGCCGGAGTAAGTGGAACTTGAAAATGGGATGAGTTTTTCACACGGCCAAAGGTAATTTAATTATAATTTCATTGTAATGGTACTGTATGCAAAGAAACTCAATCAGAATTTTTTTAACAAAAATAAAATTTTTGAATAAGGTTTAAATATTCTTTTTGACAATAAATGGCAATCTGTATGTTTTAAATAATAATTAAAAAGTATGCCAATGATTCTAAAAAAACTTTAGAAAAAAAAAAAAAAGTTCAATTAATTAAACTACGATGTATATGATATAATGAATTCAATGATTATCTAAAGGATATTCCAGTGTTTTAAAACAATTTTTCGAATTTTGATCTTTAAACGATGATTAGTAAAATTCTAGAAATGTTAGAAGTATAAAGTTGCAGTATCAAGGTACGACCACGTACGTAGCAGTTCAATCTGTTTTCGTGGAACTGTCCTTCAATTTTCCTTACCAAAGTCAACAATTAAGTTATCTGTGATCAGATAAATCGCTAATAATCTCCACTGGCTTTTATCAGAACAACAATAGTAAAAGTGATAAGCATCAACAATGAAAACAGGAAAGTGGCATCTTTTGTGACGCAGTACATCCGTTATTTTTATACATTTTTATGACAAAATAATGCGCAAGTAGATTCAAAGAATATAAAAAATAAAATAACAATAAAAAATAATAATAAATAATTTTTTTTTCATTTTTCAAAATGTCTTAAAAATTTCAAAACACAACTAGTAAAATACATATAGTCGCCTCACCACTTTAAGAAACTTTGACTAAAATTATAGATCATAACGACAAAGAAACCCGTCGAATTTAAGTATTTTAGCACAGTAATAAGTAGCTTAAGCCAAGTACCTCCCTCTGACAACGTGAATTATACCTGCTTTATTTGTACAATAATATTTACATACATATTATTCCTCAAATGCCAGTATGAGTACGATCCCACTGCAGAGCGTCTTTAATTAAATTAAATTAAATTTGATAATAATTAAGGGTGCATTAACCTTATCAGAGAGAGGTATTTAGCCTACTTACTGTGGTAAAGTAGGTACTTAAATTAAAATAAAGGCGACTGTACATTCAACTTATTCTTTTCAAAACGAGTACGATAAGTTACAGTGACGGCCATAATAAAGTAAACTTTTCTTTCCCTAATGTAACTTTCAAATATGTATTGACGTTTAAATGGCATTTTAATGGATACACGTGATGGATACCTATTTAACTGAGTCCAGTTTACACAACTAAATTTATTGAAAAATTTCTTTCAAGAGGTGCCCTACTTTATTTCGGCCGCACTGTATATGGCACGCATATTTTAATACAAAAATCTTTTTATTTAGTTGAGCTGGTTTTAACCAAGTTCTGAAATGCCAAGGAAAATTTTGTACGTTGATCGTGAGCTAATGCACTGTTATCGTAATAGCACCAATATGCAACTCATTAAGTGGTAATGAGTATTTAAAACTGGAAAGTTAAATTAAAAATTACGAAAATTAGAAAATTTAAACCCAAATGTTTATACCGACCGAGTTATAAAAACGTACCCATGTCTTTGATACCTAGAATTTTGTTCTTGTCAGATTGCATGGATTGCAGTCAATTTGAAAATGCAACGAACAAAGACAAACTTTCAAAAATCCATGGCTATCTTTGATCGTGTTTTTATTGTTCGCTCGGTATTTAGACAATAAAAATTAATAACCTAAATGTTAGCCATAAAAATAAAAAGCTTAAACTAATACACAAAAAAAGTCCCAGGTGTTTTAAAATACGACATAAAAGAATTTAAAAGCGTACGAATCTCCAACCCATTACTGAAAATTTTAATACTGCGGAAACAAATTTCATCACGAGGTTACCTGGTATTTAATCGTTCGGACGATACCAACCTTGTTACAAAGTTTAGGGTGTTGGAAATGTTTTTTTTTGATGCAACGATTAAGATAACGTTTACAAATATCCAAAACTCTAATTTTATGATTTTTGTGTTTAGTAGTCACCATTTTGGAAATCACATGATTTAAGAAATTAGTTGCATTTTTTAATATATCTAAAAAAAAAAAACAAAAACTGTAGAAAATTAATCTACTACAGTGATTTTTAGACCTTACGATTTTCAGTCATAACAAATGTATGTAATACGATAATTTTTTAAATAGTCGATATCAAGTTGCAGTGTTAAAGTTCAAGAGATCTGGTTTTTTATCTCTAGTTTCGTGGAATTGTCTTTTAATTCCGCTAACAAATTCGATAGTCAAGATTACAGAATTCATATCAAAGACAATTTCAGTTGATGAAACAAAAGTAATTAATTACGATTGCCTCAACAACAGAACTAAATGAATGGAAATTAGGTCTCTTGTGGGACAAAAAATTCAAGGGTTAAAAAAACAGAAAAAAATTAAAAATAACTTTGAGACTTACTGATATTAAAATAACTTTTATAACGCTTCAAGCAAAGAAGGTATTCTAAAATTCTTGAAATTCTAAGGTTGGGTAACCCAAGTGTATTGAAATAATTTTTGACCTTTATTCTTCCAAGTCAAGAGGATTTACTGCACCCCACTGTGACAAGATTGTAAAAATTACCACAAGGTCTGATACTCAACTTTCAACCATAACCACACTAAAACTTTCGGTGAACTATAATAAATTCTTTAAGATTACATTAACTTTCAGGAAAAAATGGGACAATAATGTTCTGTGATGTTTAAATCAGTCAAAATTAAATAAATAAAAAAAGAGTGCGTCGACCCAGGGACGGATGGAGTAAATAAAATGTGAACAAAAAACAAGATTTTAAATCATGCCTGACAAGAACTTTCGTTTGTACTAAAACTATGCCACAAAATTATTTCCAAAACCAAATTTTAAAGTCAAAATTAACAAATTCCCAGAACGAAGAATTTAAACATTTAAAAATAAACTTCACAAATTATGCGTGTACGGAAAATCTCTGTTACGCCGAAAATAAAGAAAGAGGAAATTATAGTCTTATAAATACCCACAACGTACTAATTTTAGAACATCATACGCTAGCACTTTTGGATTCTTTACAAAACAACTTCTAATTACAAAGAGATATTTTCTCAATACTCGATCAACAACTACTTAAATCAATGACCACCACTCCATCACCCTCAAGAGAAATAATTAACTTGTTTATCTGAACTCCAATTTCGAATAACAATGCATCGATAAAAAAAATCAAACTAATCATGCCACAATTCAAGGTGAATGTCACGCCCGTTGGCCAAACCAAATCGACATTTCTTACTACGACAACAAAAACATCCAAATTTTTATGTCTTGCTACATTCACTCGACATTTGCGTCCTGCACGTGTCTTGACGTCACAAACCTCTGACGTCACCCCTCGCAACAAAGAAATTTTGCGAAGAAATGCCACCTAGCAACCGGTCATAATCCGTTGGATTGCATCAGATCACACACCCGCGGATTCCGCCAATCAGAAACCGGTATAAAGTCGAGCCCGTGTCCTCGAAATCGAGATTGTTCTCTGAGATGAGGCAATCAACTGTTTACCAGATCGAGATTAGGCTATTTCCTGAGAGCAAAGTGTAACTAGGTGTAGGTGAAAAGGGGGCCAATTTTAGCAATGAACGCAGCATGATGCAACTAAGAAAGTTTCCGCGTTTTCTTGTTGTCTTGAGTTTATATGTCCTCTTTCGAAATTTAGCTAGTTATTGATTGGAATATTTTAGTATCGCAATTTCGCCTGATCTGACCGATTTCGAAAGGCTAAACAATTGTTACAATGGGAGATAAGTGTTGTCAAAGCAGATTTCGTTCTTTGGACCCTCCCCACCACTATGACACAGGAGGGAGTTCCCAAACACCGTATATAAGGGTTTGCTGGCGTTGTTCCAGCATTATAACTACAGTTCTTTGTGAGTGAAAATATAAATTTGACACGATTTTCCTCAATCCTTAATTCTGGCTAGTACGCGGGTTAAATTAGTTGCCAAGTACCACAGATCAAACTGCTTTGTGTCCCATTGTGACAAATTCTACTTGAAGTACATTTTCGGGTTTTATTCTATGTACCATAAGAGTTACACTTAAACATCGTTTTTGACCAAAAAGAAAAATGCCTGAGTTAATTGAAAAAAAATCCAACACGTAAGTTCTCGTTTGACTGGTTTCTTGTCAGCGACGCTTTGCCTAACTTGAATTTTTCTTACAGATTTTCGACCGAAGTTGGTCGTTTTGCCAAGCAAGCGAGCCATCCCAATGTAGGCCTTTTCAACCACTTGAAAGGGATCAGCGTGGTCAATGGAGACCTGAAGAGCCTGAGTGGGAAGGTGCGGGCCTACGTTGAACAAAACATCGATTTGTGTCAGCCCGAGAAAATCCACATTTGCGATGGAACGGACCACGAAAACAGCCACCTTCTCAGCCTGTTGCAGCAGCAGGGGACCATCGTGCCCTTGCCCAAGTACCAGAACTGGTAAGTGCAGCGTTTCCATAAATTACCCAAATATACCTACTATTGCGTAGTTACACCGATTTTAACAAAGCATTTGATAAAGTAGGTATAATTTTTTTATTAAAATAATCGGAAGCTTATGGAGTTAAATCCTTATTAAGTTGGTTTCGAGATTATTTGAGACAAAGAAGCCAACAAGTCAAACTGAATAATAATGTCCTGAAGCATACGATGTTCCGTCCGGGGTATCTCTAGCATCACTTTTAGGTCCTCTTTTATTTATAATTTTTTTAAACGATAGGTTTAAATATAAAGTCGAAAAATTTGTTTTCGCCGATGATTGAAGAATATGTTGTTTGAATAAATTTGAAGATAGTGGTCTTAATTAATTGTCTGTTTAACTGGTGTTAACGCAATAGTATGTTTTTAAATCATGCTAAAAGTAAATCTTTTAGCACAAAGATTGTTGAATTAGTCACCCTTTATAGTATCAGCAATTTTACTTTATCTGTAAGTGATTCAGTTCGAGGTCTAGGGATCTATTTAGATTCAAAGTTGAATTATTATAAGGTTCATCTTGATTAAACCAACAGAACACTTGAAAAATATTACTTCAATTAGATCACTTATTGTTTCGTATTGTTTACTTGTTACAACAATTCTAAAGTACTGTTGTGTCATATAGTGCCCACTATATCACTTGAAACAACAAAAAAACATTTTTTATGTTTGTTTTCTAATTAGTGAATAATTTTCTAAAACTTAACACTTGTCTAAATTGAAAACTTATACAAATTATTTACTACTTACCGCTGAATAACGGTACTTACGGTAGCAAATAGTTTTTACAGCTCACTTAATTTTTTTTAATGGTATCATTGACAGTATTCAAGCGAAAACTGTTAGTCATTCTATCACACTGATTACATGATTCGTTTTTAATACTGTTATAGTTTTACATATTCCTTTTTGTCAATTTATTTATTCTTATCCATTATATTCCGGTGACGCTTTTCAATGACCCTTTTTTCCAGCTGGCTGGCCCGAACCAACCCAGCCGACACTGCCCGTGTCGAGTCCAAAACCTTCATCTCGACCGAAAGAAGGGCCGAAACCATTCCGACCACCAGAGAAGGCATCAAGGGCCAACTAGGAAACTGGATGTCTCCGCGTGATATGGACGCCGCCATTTCCAATCGCTTCACGGGATGCATGAAGGGTCGTACCATGTACGTGGTCCCGTTTTCAATGGGTCCTGTCCATTCTCCCTTGGCCAAAATCGGCATACAGTTGACAGACTCAGCCTACGTGGTAGTTTCCATGAGGATAATGACCCGGATGGGACAAACGGTCTTAGAAAAGTTAGCCGACGGTACGGACTTCGTCAAATGTTTGCACTCTGTAGGAACCCCAGCCAACGGGTTCGTGGAAATGGCGAGCTGGCCGTGCGATCCAGAAAGGACCATCATTTTGCACAGGTACGTCACGAATTATCATTTACTGATCTCCAGCTACTGGCACAAGAAAGATGCTTTTTCAATACCTACCTAACGGTATATTATGTTAATAATAATAGTAATAGTAATCTCCAATCTTAGTTACACGTAGTAATAATTGTTAAATTCTAGACCGAAGAACAACGAGATCGTCTCGTACGGGAGCGGATACGGTGGAAATTCTCTTTTGGGGAAGAAGTGCTTCGCTCTTAGGATTGGCTCCACCATCGCCAAGAAAGAAGGATGGTTGGCCGAGCACATGCTGGTAAGTACGTCGAGCTTAAATATGGTCCAGTTGTAATTCTTCTCCACCATAGATCCTCGGTGTGACCAACCCCGCCGGACAGAAACGCTACATCGCCGCCGCCTTCCCCTCGGCCTGCGGCAAGACCAACCTAGCTATGATGACGCCGTCCCTCCCCGGCTACAAGGTGGAGTGCGTCGGTGACGACATCGCCTGGATGCGTTTCGACAAATCGGGCCAGCTGCGGGCCATCAATCCCGAAAACGGCTTCTTCGGCGTGGCGCCCGGCACCTCCAACTCCAGCAACCCCATCGCCATGAAGACCATCTTCCAGAACACCCTCTTCACTAACGTAGCCACCACCAGCGACGGCGGCGTCTTCTGGGAGGGCATGGAGTCTGAAATTTCCCCCGACGTTAAGATCACCGACTGGCACGGCAAGCCTTGGGTGCGCGGAGAAAGCAAGACCCCCGCCGCCCATCCCAACTCCCGGTTCTGTACCCCCGCGGCGCAGTGCCCCATCATTGACCCCCAGTGGGAGGACCCGGAGGGGGTCCCCATCTCGGCTATCTTGTTCGGGGGACGGCGCCCGGCGGGAGTCCCGCTGGTGTACGAAGCGCGCGACTGGAAGCACGGGGTGTTCGTGGGGGCGGCGATGCGGAGCGAGGCCACAGCGGCGGCCGAACACAAGGGAAAGGTGATCATGCACGACCCCTTCGCCATGAGGCCGTTCTTCGGGTACAACTTCGGACACTACTTGGAGCACTGGTTAAGCATGGAGGGTAGGACGCAGAATCTGCCGAAGATCTTCCACGTGAACTGGTTCAGGAAGGACAGCGAAGGCAAGTTCCTGTGGCCCGGGTTTGGGGAAAATGCAAGGGTTTTGGACTGGATTTTGAGGAGGCTGGACGGAGAGGACTGCGCGAAGGAGACTGCGATCGGGCTGGTGCCCCAGAAGGGGGCGCTGAATTTGGAAGGACTGAAGGAAAAGGTGAACGTGGATGAGATGTTCAGGCTGCCGAAAGATTTCTGGATGGAGGAGGTGTATGCGATCGAGAAGTATTTTAATGAGCAGGTGGGGATGGATCTGCCGGAGGCGATACAGATGCAGTTGAAGCAGCTGAAGAAGAGAGTTAATGACATGTAGATTTTAGTCTCAATTCGATTTTATTTTTTAAGTGTGTTTACTGGATGTATTTTTGTATTAATTTATATGATAAGTCTTAAATATTTTTATAAGATCTTATGACTAGGGTAAGTTTTTATTCTGTATTTTGTACATAATAAATATGAAGCTGTAAACACGTTTTTTTTTATCTTGTAGTTTTCCAAAATTATCGCATTAACACACGAACGAAAAATACAAAATTGTTGCCAGGTTGGCGTGATGTAGGCGAAACAAAAGAGCATTCGAAATTATTTCGGACAATGCTATCGATCAGACACTAATGTATAACTGGTTGTCTATACAAGTGGTTACAATGCACTGAAACAACTAAATTTAAAAATTAATTTTGACTTTTTTTATAATAATAATATACTATTGTCGACATTAAACCCTTTAGAAAGAATTAAGAATCTATGGCGCGTTTAAAAATAAACTGAAAACATCTAAAATTCATTATCAGAGTTAGGCACAGCCGAAGTGATGGGGAATCAATCAGACAAATATTAAATACGACGGCGCGATGTCACCTCAGTGGTGTTTGAAGCAATTCAGGGTTTATCTGATCGAGATCATCACGAAAATTGTGATGTTAAAAAGTCATTTTTAATTTTTAAAGCATTTTAACACCTAGGAAAACTCATATAACTCAGGAAAACTTAGAAAAAGTAGTAATTATTATTAAGAATTCCCGAAGTTGTAGGCCACGACTGCAATAGCGCTGGCGATCGGACGGCAATGAGCATCACTTCCGCGATGCCGAAGTTTGAATATTATACACATACAAAACAAAGGAGATCACAGAGTAGTTTCTCGTTGATGGTTCTGAACGTATAAAAAATAGCAACTTTCCTGATAAATACTGCAAAATTTTTTAAATGACTTTAAAGTCGATAAAAAAAAATATCGATTAGCAATTTACCGTCTTTACTATAACCTTAAAACATCTGCAAGATCGGTTTTATAGTTAACTTGTGAAATGTTATTTTACAATTTTGATTTTTGGTGGGATGTTCAAACAAATTTTTACAGTCAGTCCAGTAGTTTTGAAGATTATCTGTCAATTAATAAAGACGCCGCGGATGACATAGGTTATGAAACGTCGAGAAAAGCTGTATTTTTTTAGCTTACGCTTGGGAAGTAAAAAATGGTGTAAACAGCGATGTCTTCCTGAGTTTTCTCTTAACAGCAAAGTTTGAAATCACAACAATATGAGATACTAAAAACAAGTTTATTATTTTAACTTATGTATTTTAAATAAATAAGAATAAATAAATGCAAAATTATAGCCAATACTGTTTCCTAATCACTAGTATGAGTATTCACGTTTTCACAGCTTCCACCATTAACTTTGATCTTTCACTTTCCTCCCCATAGAAAGTGGAGTAAATGTACTTTTGCTTGGTGGAGGATTCAACTTACTAGTGATATAAACAAAAGCCTCATAGAGACTGTTTCGTTGCATCGCCGAAGCAGAAAAATGTCTTATCTTCTCTCTATTGCACCAAGCAGAGGCTTTACTTAATGTAGATTCGAACTCTGTGGTTTCAGATTCTTTAAATTTGTTCCCTATCACAATTATAGTAACCTAGAAACAATCTTTGTAGATACACACAGGTAAAACATTTTTCAAAACAAACCTCCTTTTTGTCTTTATTCTTATCAATGTCCTTCTTCAAAGACACTAGAACATCGAGCGAATCCGACCTTTCTGTATCATACACTAAAATGTAACCATCAGCAATTGCCAAATAATGCCTTGGGAGCTGTTGATTTGTAGTCCCATTAGCTGTGGCAGTTTGTAAGTGCTCAATACCAGCTGTATCATAAAATCTCACTTTTTCTCGCGTTCCTTTATCGGATTCGATATTTGCTACATAGATGTCTTCTATCGTAGGGTGCAATTCCTGGAAATTTTTATCAGTAATGGGTTATGATAAGGACTGCCACTTACACTTTTAGGGGTTATGTTACCATAAATGACCTGTTCCAAAATAGCGGTTTTGCCCACCCCCTTCATCCCGCAAATCACCACTTTGGACGTTTTGCCCATTTTATAAATATTTGTAATTGTTTATTTACTTTGGACAGGTGGCACCTGTCACTTGGCAGGTGACGTCCTATGACATCTTAGTACCAACATAACAAATTGAAAATGTACAAAAGTCCTTGAGACTTGAGATAAGTGAATGAGTCAATCCTGGACATGAATTGTATCGACTGTTTCGTGCCAACATGCATTTCCACGTCGTCATTTAGACTAAACACTGATAATCATTTTGATACGACCAATGTTCTTTATTTGGTTTATTGAAATATTTATTTTGAACCCGGACCGGAATAAAAAATTTGACAAGTGACGTACGAGTATCAACCTAACGACCAGGGTGCCCAGATCAGTTGTCACAGCAATCGCCAATAGAGGGACTCGAAAGCCGCCAAAATCGCCAACCCAAAACCATATATTAAATATAGGGACTATAGCCCCTAGAAATACCAGAGATATAGAGAAATACATAGTACCGTTATCCATTGTTGTACGAGTGGAGCAAACGGAGTTGGTAACGCAAAAAATTTCCCTGGTTTAGAACCAAATTGTGTCAGCAGAGAGTTGACAGCGCGTAAACCGTTGTTGTCACGTGGTCTTGGCGTGGTCTTTTTGTTTAAAGTCAATTAATTGTCAATTAATATAACTAATAATTATTAAATAAGATTTTATTGATTAAATTTTATATTTTATTCATATTAAAAATCCATATTTTGTACATAAACTACAAACTTTAAATCCAACATAAAACCATTTTAAATTTCGCGATCTGTCAAATGGTGTTAATAACTTTTGTTTTTGTTAAGTTTCCGCCAGGTTTGCTCCACGGTGACGATACTATGTGTTTTCTAGAGGCTATAATAGGGACTTTGCCAACAAAATATATTGTTGAAATCTAATGAAAGCACTTATCCTTTTTTTAATATTTATTTTAATTAAAAAATGCATTGACCCTTTCAGTGTGATGAACTGACGAGTGATGACTAATGACTGACGAGCGACTGTGAGGGGATGAGAGTGAGAGTGATAGTTGATTGTTGACTTTTTCGATTTTTTTCATTACTTAACTGTACACAAAAATGGAAAAATAATAGAGTCCCCAAAATTCGCCAAAATCGCCAACTGGCGCCGACATTAAAAAACAGCGCTAATCTTGGGCGCCAAGTCGCCAAAATGGCGATAAATCGCCAAATCTGGGCACCCTGCTAACGACACAAAAATATAAATACGTAATCATCGATATACCGATAATCCTTCAAAAAACTGTACCTTTTGAGCACAAAGTACCATTATTTCTTTAATAGTGTAGTTTTTAGGCTACTCCTACGGCCAAAATCTTCCGAGTTTCACCATAAATGCACTATTATCTTTTCGCTTTATTGGCTCTACTGTTTGCCATCGCTGTCATCATTCCTAACCTCAATATAGATTTCGCGACACAAAAACCCGATCAAAACCCCAACATGAGCGAAAGCAGCAAAAATAAGTACTCCATTTTACTACCCACGTACAACGAAGTAGAAAATCTACCCATTATAATATGGCTGATTGTCAAATACATGAATGAAAGGTGAGCCCCCTTGGACACCAAGCAACAAGTATCACGCATTTTTTAGCGGTTATGATTACGAAGTGATAATCATCGATGACGGCAGCCCCGATGGAACTCAGGACGCCGCTAAACAACTCCAAAAAATCTACGGAGAAGAGAAAATTTTGTTAAAACCCCGAGAGAAGAAGCTGGGTTTGGGAACGGCGTACATCCACGGCATGAAGCACGCAACTGGGAACTTTATTCTTATTATGGATGCGGATTTGAGTCATCATGTAAGATCCTCAATAACAATAAATCTTAGTTTAAAGAAATAATTGCAGCCGAAGTTCATTCCACAGTTTATCAAGAAACAACAATCTAAAGACTATGATATCGTTTCTGGTACGCGGTATATAGGGGACGGGGGAGTGTATGGCTGGGATTTCAAGAGGAAGTTGATTTCGCGAGGAGCTAATTTTTTGACGCAGTTGTTGTTGAGGCCTGGGGCCTCAGATTTGACTGGCTCTTTTCGGTTATATAAAAAAGATGTTTTGGAAAAGTTAATCAAAAGTTGTATTTCGAAAGGGTACGTTTTTCAGATGGAGATGATTGTGAGGGCTCGGCAATTTAGTTACAGCGTGGGGGAAGTGCCGATTTCTTTTGTGGATAGGGTGTACGGGGAATCGAAATTGGGAGGCTCTGAAATATTCCAGTTCGCGAAAGGTTTGCTTTATTTGTTTGCAACTACTTAAATTTATCTATATATGCAATTATTTGTATTTTTTTTAACAAGAATAAAATTATTTTTAATTAGTGAAGCAGACCAGTGTCCAATTATTTTCTAATAAGAATTTTCCATTCCAATTAGACAACTTTCTGACTTCTCTTTTCTGATGGATACTTTTTCGCAGGAAATTGTATTCTGACAAATAATTTTAATACTTTACCTGCACCTTGAAGACCGCTCGACTCACATGACTATAGGTCACCACACGTGATTTCTCACGTGCAAATCCCCATTTTTTACCACAAAAACTTTAAATTTTTCTCTTTGCGCACATCACCTTCTGACCCAGTTCGACAGTAGCGCCACCACGACATAACGTCAAAACCTGTAACTACTGATCATATGACAGCAGCCTCCTAAGTGGAACAGTACGGTTGAGTTTTTCGAGTCTTTTGCACGAAAAAATGGCGAGTCAGACCCAGGGAATTCAACAACTACTTGCTGCGGAAAAGCGAGCGGCGGAAAAAGTGTCGGAAGCCCGAAAACGTGAGTATTTTTCCCAAACATGAAACGTCTTAGTGGGCGTTGCGTTTGACACTTGGTCACGAGTTTAATTTCTTTTCACAAAATTACGAAAAAGCAGTTGAAGTTCGTCTTCAATTCTGTTTCCATGGAACATTTACTTTATTTATTTATTATTTTTGGTTTCGTACCCGCTTGAATGGTGTTAACTAACTTTTTATTAAAGGTAAAGCCAGGAGGCTCAAACAGGCCAAAGAAGAGGCTCAGGATGAAATCGAGAAATACCGCAAAGAACGTGAACGTCAATTCCGCGAATTCGAGGCTAAACACATGGGCTCGAAGGAGGGCGTTGCTGCTAAGATCGAGGTGGAGACCAAACAGAGGATCGATGATATGAACAGGGCTATAGCTAGCCAAAAGGGTCCTGTAAGTTGTTAGAGATTCTGAGAGGTTTGTGTGTTAACTTGTTTTTACAGGTAATCAATGATGTCTTGGATTTGGTTTATGATATTAAGCCTGAGATTCATAGGAATTATCGCGCTTAGGAGTTTGTTAGGTGTTAAGAATGAAGTGCTTAATATTGATACTTACGTAGATATAAAAGATGTACTTTTGTTCATTCCATTAAGTTTTGGTTGCCTGTAGGATGTTAATTTAGATTGCTCCGACTCTGTTGTACAGTATTTGTTTTGTAATATGTTACTGAGGATAATTAATAAAGATGTTTAGGGGTAGGTATTTAGGTTTGTGGAAGGCTTAGGTTGTTTGTAGGGTGAGTGGAGAAGTTCCAGTACAAGCAACAAGGTATGTTTGTTTTTATTACTTGTTTACATACAAATTCCATACTGGTTTTTAAATTAATTTCAGTTAATCTTATACTGATCTATGGCTGAATTGTTGCTTTCAATATTATAATTAATTATGTGAAACATAAAAAAATCCACAAATTTTACCTTTAAAAACCTTGCCTAGCTCTGAGGTCTAGAAAAAATCTTGGTTTTCCATGTCTAATGACTCGATGCGCGGAATTATTAAAAAATAATACTTCTATATTACTATTGTGATAAACCAAACATCCCGCCTTAAACTGACATGTAAAAAAAAATTGAAAGGCCCGCGAAAAATTTAAAAATTAAAAATTTGGCCTTGATTGTGATCGTCTAACAAAATGGAACCTACGTTGTGTTTTTGAAAAATGGCGGGATGCGTTGAGATGCAAGTGGTGGACCCCAAGGTTGGAAAAGTACCGCTAAATAAAACACAAAATTTATGGAGGACACAAGATTATTTATTCCTCCGCTGATAAAAAAAAAAGCCGCATCCGAGGGTGACTCGTGGCTTGCCCTCAGGCTGCCCACAGGGGGCCGAATCACAATTGCTGTTCAGCTCCAAAAAGAAAAAAACTTTGAATGAAATCAAATTAAACGTTCTGAATCAATGCAAATATTTGAATAACACAAATTTAATAAAAACGAATAAATAATCTGAATTAAAGTAACAGGATGCAAATACACAAGTTATTACAGACGTGTGGCGGCAAATTTAAAATTATAGCAGTCAACAAGAACGTAACGAAAATACTCATAGTGGCGTTGTAGCGCGAAGCATGTCTTTATTACGGACGTGTCGTACGACAGGGCGTTACGATACCAGACTCGTAGTTGGGTCTCGACTATTGGGCCAAATCGACAGCGTTACGTCATCTCGACCGCCCCTGAATTCTATACAAATCTGCATCTTTTGTGTAGGTGACGCGATAAGTCTCGCCAGCTCGACTAGGAACCGCGCACTCCGTTTCTGTCTCGTATTTGGTGTTATTTACCTCAATTCCACTTTAAATGTTCGCTTTCTATGACTCTGATATTAACGACAACTGAACAAGTGTTAAAGTTTCAAAAAGAAAAATAAACAACATTTAAATTCGCCATACAATCTTCTGAAATTTTAAACAACAAATAATTCTTATGTGAGATTAAAATTGGACATATTTATACGATGAAAACACAAGATCTGATGTTAAATAAAACTTGTGCGGACAAAAATATTACGTGAGCTTAAAACTGTAGCGCATGGAAATTTACGTTCAATTTAAATTATACAACAAAGATAATTACTGAAGTTAAAATTGTGAGGTAGAGAAATATTGTATGAGGTGAAAATTGCAAAGCTAACAAAATTTACATGAGATTAATATTTGTCACACTTTATCAACGATTCAAACAAAGAATTTACATTATATTAAATTATGTCTTGATCCAAAAGTGATTGGTTACTTAAAACAATTAGCTTTGAGAGTTTATCGTGAACTGGTTACCCCAACAAAACACGTAATAAATAAACACAAAAATATCCAGTTATCATTGCGAGGAAAAAGCGTCTCGGTGATGTAAATTTTAGCGTTGTGAAACAATGGTCTCGGTGATGTAATTTTTAACGTTGCGAGTAAATGCCTCGATGATGTAATCTTTTAACGTTGCGAGGAAATGCCTCGATGATGTAATCAATCTTCAACGTTGCGAGGAAATACCTCGGTGATGTAATCAATCTTCAGTATGTCCCCGAATTGAGTTCACAAGAGGAAAAAAAACTGTATTTTCTATTTTACAAAAGAATGACAGAAATAACATTTTTTGCTTAATTCAAAACTATAGCCCCTAGAAAACACATAGTGGAGCAAACCTGGCGGAAACTTAACAAAAACAAAAGTTATTGACAATATTTGACAGACCGCGAAATTTAAAATGTGTTGATTAGATAAATATTAATAAAATATAATCAATAAAATGTTATTTAATAATTATTAGTTATATTAATTGACTTTAAACAAGAATAACGTGCACGCCAAGACCACGTGATAACAACAGTTTACGGTCAATCCTCTGCTGACAAAATTTACTTCCAAACCAGGGGAATTTTTTGCGTTACCATCTGCATTTGCTCCACTCGTACAACAATGGATGACGATACTATGTATTTTTAGGGGCTATATTTAAAACGAATAAATCTGCAATTAAAATTTAAATATTGTCAGGTTGTGTCCTTCAAATCGCAAAAAACTAAAAGTAACGAAGAACTTAGAAATATGAAAAATTAATTTTAAAAGTACAGACCAGGAATATTGAAGTTTTAATTGCTGATTTATTCGTTTTGAATTACATAAGCAAAAAATGTTATTCCTATGTAATTTTTTTGTAAAATAGAAAATACAGTTTTTTTTCCTCTTGTGAACTCAATCCGGGGACATACTGTTTAACGTTGCGAGGAAATATCTCGGTGATGTAATGATGATAATAACGATGATAACTGCCTAAGGGAAGAAATTATTTTAAATCTCCCCCGGTCACGACATAATGAATTTTGTTAATTTAACTGCCGTAAATGAACTATTAGGAATCTTGTGTGAAGAATTAGGAAGTGTTATAATATAACATTTACGTATTAGCATCCAGAAACTTATTCATAACTTGTAAACAAAGGGTGTTGTCCTGACTAAGTGAATTTCATGAAATCTCCTAGTAAGTGTCTGTCTAATCAAATCTAATGTCTGTGAAATCGTGTTAGAACCAGTTAACGATTAAAATCCTAACCTAATCGGTGAATTAACAAACAATAAAACAAATTTACAGCACGTGTAGCGTCGGTCGAAAATTAGCACTTTTTCCGATTAAAAAAGCGCAAAAATTAGCTGCGCGTATTAGGGAAAACTGTGACGTCATCATTACGATTAATTGTCGTTAAACAAAGACTTTCTCCCTTTTATTAACTACCAAACCAACTAATTTCAAAATGTGTGATTTCGCGCCGCTATTAATTAAATTCGGCGCGAAAATTTGATTCAAATTCGGTCACCACAACATCCAGAACTTTTTCACGGCTTGCTATAATTGAGAACCGTATTTTTTGCGTAGCAGCATTTTTTTTTCGAAATGCTTCCACAATTTTACGAATATGCAGGGTGTGGTAAATGAGGGGCTCAGAGCACGTCATAGGAGCAGTCGGCGCCGAAGAGTAACTGGTGAACGTATTTTCACTACTACTCTCTGTTGTAATTTTTTTTGAAAGGCAGTGTATGTCTTGTAACGTTATCCGGAGAAACACGAAAGTTTCCGTGAAAAATGTTTATTTACACACAAAAATACATACAATTCACGAAATTATCCGGAGATCGGCGACCAGTACTGTAGATAAAACCCAGATACTGAGAATTTTTACAGAAGTCGCAACGAATGAACGAAGATGGCTACTGGTGGCTTCCTCGTGAATCGGTTTGCATGTCTTTCTTCCTCGTTCGCCTTAATGCTGCAGGCTTTCTCCAACAGCTCGGCGAAGGAGTTGATATCCGTCCGGGGCAACCGGTCTCGTAATGCTCTCAGCTGCCATTCTTCGTCGAGGGGGTGGCTTAATTGTGCTAGGCGGTCCCTCTGGATAATGACGAACTTGTACGTCGGTACTTCCTCGCCCTGGCGATTCGAAAAGATATCTCCGAATAGACAGAAATTCGGTTTCCTTGGAGCGAACGCTTTCCGTATCAATTGCGTCGTCTCGGGGAACGTGGTGATATTTTGGCGGACACCACACCACCATTGGTTGGCTTCGCCCGTTAGCAGGAGCGGGAGTCCGGCGAGTGCATCCACCGTCTTGAAAATCGTTATGGTGTTAATAAACTCCTCTACGGAAGCGCTGATACGAATTACCCCGAATCTGGCAATACATTGCGTGAAATGTCTCGATACCGGCCTTTGTCCTGGATTGCTAATTTTCTCCAAGAGCTGGTTAAACTGTCCCACTGACATCTGGATGGGCACTGTTCCAGGCTTTAAAATGTTTATTTACACACTATAATACAATTCACAAAATTATCCGGAGACCGGCGACCAGTACTCTAGATAAAGCCCTAGGAGAAAGGCACGATGTCCCAAAACTGGCAACCAGTACTTTGGGAGAGTGATGACGAACTCGAAGAGAACTCTGTTTGGTGGACGGTGGTGCGAGCCCTTTTATTTAGATCTCGGGGTGGCTTTGGCTAATGGCGCGGGTGGAACGGCTTCGACCAATGGGCAGCTAGGAAGAGGGGTGTCTGCTCTATAGTGGGGCTGTAGACGCGCTACTCCCGCGTCGTTCCAGCAGCGCTCGGAAAGGGTACTAGCGGAGCGCCACATAATTAACCACTACACTCGTACCTATCTTAAATTATCTCAAGATTAAGAATTGACAGCTTAATCCGACTGTTGACAATATACATACCTAAATCACACTTCTAAACGTCTGCTCTTTTCTCCACTACCAGAAAGAGGAAGAGTGTTTATCTATAATTTCTTTCCTCTTTGTTTGGTTTTCTGCAATGTTAGTACCGTTTTGTAACTTCTGCTAAGTGTTTCGGCGCCCTTTCATCCACTATGTTCTGACCCTTGATTTTTTGACATTTGACTTGTCTTAGTAACCTTTTTTCATGCTCTAATAAAGTAAGTTGTCTCATATAAATTAAGTATGAAATTAACATTGCCATGTAGTAAAAATAAAACTAAAAGTGTGTTTTAGCCTTGTTGTAATTTTTTTTACGTTGTTTTCATTTACATTTAATGAAAACAAAATATCTACGTAATAAGTTGCTATTCTTTATTCACAGTGATACTTATATTACTTTACTGAAACATCTACAAGGCGATAAAATGATTCATTAACCTTCACCCTTTATTTACCACTGCGTACGTAAAGGTATTATTTTTCAATTATATGTTTTACCATTACAGCTTCCTTAAATAGTTAATTTTGCTCACATGTAATAAAATATAAATATAAAATAAATTATACATAATATTCGTTGTTTCAAAAACCGTTTTAAAATTTTATAGGTATAGCGAGTTTTCGTAATTTGATGTTTGAACAGAAAATGATATCCCAAAAACCACTGCTAACTCCAAATTCTAGATAAACGATTGATTAAAAGACAGAAACATGTTAAATTTTACTAAAATACCTGCCTGCGAATTTGCGAAGTGATGCTGATTGTGACGCCTCTTCAAGTAGTACAAATAACTTCCTTCCTTAGGTGCACATTTGTGCACATAAAGGTGAATCATGTCGTATAGAATATAACCTTTGAAAGCACACAAAATAAGAAATAAAATAAAATAAAACATTACATTCCAACTAACCCAACAGTGCTCCTGCTAGTACTTGAAAAACTATCGATTCAGGAAAAATTATTCGGAATATGCTGAATTTTCCATATACAAAAAATACAGCAAATTGAGGAGGAAATATCCACGTACGTTTATCAAACGGTAGCTGAAATTTCAAATAATTTTATGGAAGTTTGAGCAATTTTATTACAGTTTTTTTTGACTAAATAAGAATGGTATGACTTTGTCACTGCGTACCTTATGGTGAAGACCATGAAGGACAAAATGAAAATAAATCACGAACTTGTACTTGCCCGATGGTTCAAAGTGGAAAAGCCATCTATGGAGGCAGTATTCCGAAAATGACCACAACAAAATTCCAAACAGCACACTCAATGCTATGGGTACGTATGAAGTATCTAAAAATCAGTCAAAATATTAACTGACCCGGCATTTAAAAGTCTTCTAAATGTTAGTACCTCCGGTTATTTCAACGTACGTTTGCCTTCCATACATGATAAAAATAACAGCGATCGGTATCCAAATAATAGGTATTAAATACCACGGCGTCATGGTTAGTTTCTCCACAACTGGGTTTCCAAAAAAACGTACTTTTCTATCAATTGGTAAATTCACCCATTCTTTGTACTTGCTTCCTAAAGCCATCACTTGTCCCAAAATGGGTTGCTCCCAATCGACCAAACTCTGTAGTGACCAAAATGATCAAAAGCACGAATCAAAGATCACGAATACCGTACTTCCAAGTCATCTTGATTGTCTTTAGTGCTAGTATCACGACCTCCTTTTTTATACTGCCGTAGTAAGTACAAAGCGGCTTTGGAGTGTTGAACTTTTTGCATTCTTTTAGTGATGTCCTTATCTTCGTAAGATTTAACGTAATTTATACCTCCAGGGTGATGATGGTTATTTAAGAAATCGTAAATGTTGTAAATATCGTCATGGTAATTTACTGAAAAGCATTTACTTTCTTCTGTCTGAGATTCCATAATATGGATAATCATGCGAAATTAGGATTCAGAAATGGGCTTCACACGTTGATAGTGCGGGGACAATTATTCTAATCACTAGGTTATAAAATTTAAATAAATCTGTTTTAATATTCAAGGTTCATTTCTACGCAAGCGTCTTTTTTGTTATCAGGTCGTTTAAAATGTGTTTTTTTTTTTTGGATTTACGGGCAATAAAAATAACGACACCAGGTATGTGTATTTCATTAAAACTCGAGTCTAAAGCGTTTATGTGTTTTACCACGCGTTAATGAGAGAATTTTGGTTACAATAGATCGGACGATTGCCGCTATAAACTAGCCTTTTGAAGTGTGCATGTTACGCTACTGACTGACAGTCCGTTGTCAGATTCTGATGACTCACCATGTTGAACTTAAAATGATCCGTCTCTATTAAAGTTTAGTTAAATCCATTCCGGTCTAGATAAGTTGAGTCGGAATTATTCTGTTCGTAATCGCTGCATAATTAGTCGTGTAACCTTGTGTTACTGAGGAATAAATTGTTGAGTTTTACCTACGCCGATTTTATTACCGATCTTCGTAACAATATCAAGGGTTTTGTATTCATACAAATTTTACGAAAAATGAAATAGTAACATAGAAATAAAACCTGTGTTGCTGCTACTTCTGAGTCTACCTATTTTTTGTTTTGCATCCAAAAATAAAAAAATATATACGAGATATTTCATCAAAAAAAAACTTGGCTACATTTCCTTCTAAATTGGAAGTTAAGAAAAAATTAAAATTGTCATCAATAAATTGCTTAAGTTATTTCATTTTTCAAATATGCAGACAAAATAACAAAAATCGCCATTCAAATAACGAGGGTGATTCACTGTTCCAAGACTTTTTGCAATTTGTAGTATATTTTTTAAATAAAGAGATATTAATCCGAATACATCATACAGTTACTGATTGCCACGTACATAGATATATTAACTTAATTTAATTAACCCTGTATATTTAGATATATGTATAGTATATGTATAAATTAGTAATCAAACACTCATAAAACTACGCTGTTGTTTTTGATTAACACCAACAAATTTATGGGTGTAGTATTGTTAAAATCCACACATTTTAAATTCCAAAGTGTCCTTCGTACGTTACGTAACTGTTATACGCTACTTATCATTTACCTTATGTATTTTTACTACACGAAACTAAATTTGAACCAACTTTTTTACATTTTCGTTTATTTTAAGTGTTTGTATTTGCATAGATATATTTTATTCAAAAATATCTGTTTGAAAAACGCTTCGTCCAGTCGCCGATACTGAATTTGAGTACCAAATGGGTGTACTGACAGGAAGCGGAAAAATTGTTTTGAAAATTTTGAACACTATGAAAAAGAGAGGAGGTTGTCGTCGAATGCTCGGGCATAGGCCATTATGGCTTAAAAAAAATGAATAATTTTATTCGGCTGCCACTTTTTTAAAGGCAGATCAAGAAAAATGCAAAAGTTAATCAGAAAAAAATCAAATAAATAAACTAATTAAACAAACTACAAATCCAAGTTGTAAAATTACAGCGAGCTCTAGTATGTTAATAATATTAACATTAATATAATAATAATAATATTTATTATCCAACAGACCAGACAAGGATCAATATAAACAAAGATAAAAGCGACAATGTGTTATAATATAACTAATATAAGTATCAAAGCAATGATATATCTACCACTTGAATACAAGCAGACACGTCTGGAAGTTACCACTTGATAGCTATAGGGAGTTTTTTCAACGCAATCGCTGTTCCATAAATTTTGTCCCAAAAGTCGGTACTAATTCCAAATCCTACAAATAGCTTTCGAAATGAAATATCCATGAAAAAAATCTTATTTTTGATTTACCGCGGTCACTACGTGCAAAATGGTGCTGATTGTGGTATCTCTTCATGTTGTAGGCGTAAGTGTCTTCTTTTGGGGAACAGTGGTGTAAATAACAATGAAACAAGTCATACATTACGTAACCTTGGCAAAAACGAAATGTTTTTTAAAATATGGAAATACAGAAATGAGCATAAAATCACCTGTTATGAAACCCACACACACAAGAAATCTGATCGACTCAGGTGTGAAAATCGCTCCTAGTTGAAAAAGTCCAAAAGCAATAAGAGAGGCTGGTAAAAACGGAAATATTATTCTTTGTGAGTCGAAAGGTATCTGAAACGACAGTGGATGAGAACTGTCATCATTCCATAACTACCCATACCTTGTGGTGAATGCCATGCAAGAAAAAATGTACGTAAATCATGATCATACTTTTACCCGAGGGTTCTCTGTGGAATACCCATCTATGTACTGAATACTCTAACAACGTCCAAGACAATATTCCCGATAAAATCAGCAACAGGATTGGTAGAAGTGGGGCCGTCGCTGAAGAATGCGAGAAAGTTTAAAATATAGACACTTTTCATACGACCTTGTGTCAACTCGATGTATCTCCGAGTTCCGTGGACAAATAAACCAATATTAATTGGAATCCATATTAGCACCATGTACCATGGAGTTATTGTAAAGCGTTCCAAAATCGGGTTACCAAATATGCGCATTTTTTTGTTAACGGGGAGATGAACCCATTCTTTGTATTTTTCACCCAGATGGTGTATTTGGCCCACCATAGGTTTATTCCAGTCAATTAAAGTCTACAAAAAATCGTACCCAAATCGTTTTCTAAGAGCAAAAACTCACTTCTAGATCTTCTTGTTTCTTGGAACCAGAATCACCTTCAATAACTCTGTATTGTTGTAAAATCTTATAAGCCGTTTTGGAATGTTGGGTGCGTTCCATGGTTGAGGTGACGTCCTTGTTTTTGTATGGTCGAATATAATTTTTACCGCCAGGATGATGCTTTGTCAAGAAATTATAGATGTTGTAAAAATCTCCCTTGTATTTGACCCACAACTCTTCATTTTCCATTTTTTTTAAATTTTTTAAAAATGCACCTGTTGCTAGTCCAGAACAATTACAAAATGTTAGTGGAAATCATGTGAGTTGGTGTGCATAAAATATGCATACAAAAAACATTACGTGCTATTAAAAATAAAACACCTCTAGTTACTACTCAGTGTGTAAATATTTTTTAACGAATGGCGCAGCTAATATACATTGCACATCTGTCAGTGTTAAACTGGCGGTGGAGTGCCTCGCATATCACTCTCCTAGACATTAGCTACGCCATACGTTCAGAAAATATTGAGCATAAACAGGCTTTTTTATAGCTGGTTATATTTACGTTGTGATAACCCAAACACCTCGCCTTAAATTAACATGTGAAAAAAAACTTGAAAAGCCCATAAAAATTTCAAAAATTCAAAAATTTGGCCTTGGCTGAGGAAAAAAGGAACCCTACAAACAGCAAATATATGGAAGACACAAAATCATTTATTACTACACTGAAAAAAAAAAAAAGAAAAAAAGCTGCGACGAAGTTGCGCAGGTTGAAGACCTCTTAGTTCTCAGCTACAACAAAAAACTTGCCTAACTTGGAATGAAATCAGATTAAACGTTCTGAATCAATGCAAATATTTGAATATCATGAACGTCGCCTGCGTTGACAGTTGCGCTGATAAAGCCTGCCGAATAGCCACCTTTGACAGATAGTCCAGTAGTTACTTTCGACGCCATTTTCCTTCTGAGGGCGCTAGTTATCCTTGAATGACAGTTCAAATTTGAATTTGACGCATTTGTTTGTAATGTAATTTTCGTAATTTTGAACTAATAAAATACGATTAAAAATGCATTGTTGTATACCATCCTGTTCAAACAGTGATTCAAATGTTACCTACCACGAGTTTCCAACGCAGAAGCAGAGGTTTTGTGCGTGGATAAAAAGTATCACTCTTGGGGAAAATTTGAAAGGTTTGCATTCTTTAACTATTAAAAATAAATAAAATTCTTGATATAACGTAATAATGAACGTTAATTTCATTTAAGAAAACTTTGAACCTCCTTCGGAGAGGCCAAAAATCTGTATTCTTCATTTTAATAAAAATTATTTTTTCTACGATTCTGTGGGTAGATGCAGGCTAAAAAGCCATGCAGTTCCCCAGTTTAACAAAGGTGTAAGAGAGAGGTGTAAGAAGGTGTGTAACTGATTAACCGAAACCATTTTCATCAATCAACAATAATCAATGAAAAACTTCACCAACAATCCTAAAGCTACACGGAACATCATAAACCAACAATTTCTTCTGTACATTCAAATTGGTCAACTGTCAACGAAGGATAGCTAGCGCCCTCAGCAAAATGTGTCCAAATTTTGCATATCGTCCAATTTCGCTATTCGGCAGGCTTTATCAGCGCAACTGTCAACGCAGGCGACGATCATGAATTTAATAAAAACAAAGAAAAAATCTGAAGTTAAGTAACTGGATCCAAATATACAAGTTTGATGGTCGCAAACTCGTGGTTAGAAATCCCGGCTGTTGGGACAAGCCACGACCGTCACGTCATCACGACCGCTCCCCTGACTTCTATTCAAGATCTGCGTCAGCTCGACTAGGAACCGCGCACTCCGTTTTCGCCACGTGTTTCGGTGTTATTTACCTCAATTCCATTTAAATGTTTAATTTCTATGACTATTTAAAATCCTAACATGAACTGTGAATTTGCAAATAAATCAAATTTACACCACGTGTTAGCCTCGTCAAAAAATCGCCTATAAACAGCAATAATTAGCTACGCTTGTTGGGGAAACTTGGGCGTCGTCATAGATACGATTAATTTTCCTTAAACAAAGGGTTCCCGCTATTTTCTAACTATCAAACCAACTAAACATAATCTAGCTACCTTACCAAGTGCTTTCACTCACACCAATCAAACAACAGTGACGCAACTCACCCTCTAGCAAGCAAGTGAACTTCACTACCAACCCTCTCACTAGATATTACCCACAAATTACCCTAGAAGAGCTACCATCTTCCAGAAAAACAACTAAACTTGCAAATGGTTGCCTATCTTTAACGATTCTCTTAATTAATTTTTTCAGCGCGAAATTTTTATTCAAATTTGGTAAACCTTAGTTTGTACTGCTTTACATTGTATAGCAAGCCAGTTAATTATCTTTACATAATACAGTAGATAGTGGAACAGCTTTTTACTGTTTTTGGGTGCTTATTTTTGTTTTTTATTTTACTTTATAAGAACTTACATCGACATGATGAAAAATTAGAACTTGGCAACGTCACATAGCGATTTCAAAAATAAAATATGCTTCAAGTGTGGAAGTGGCCAAATAGAACATGTAAATATACGCAAGTTAAATGCTGCGCTTCAAAATCAGAACACTCTGTATAGTTAAAAATAATTTTGTTACGTAGCTTAGAAAGATGTACAACATTGGTCCTAAACCTTTTTGACGATGCTGTATTAACCACGTTCTTCAATTTTTTGTTGTTAAATTCATTTTACTTTCAAAAATATTTGGTATGTATTCTACAAAATTTCGAGGATTAATAGGAAAAGACAAATTGCGGCATATTCTTGGAAGCATAGATGTAACCATGAACGATGGACGGGTACAAAAAAGTGAACTCTGCCAAATAATAAATCAAAAAATATATTTATAATCATCAAAAAATCTTAGTAACAAGATAATAATAAATTTACACAATAGATATGTCTTACGACAAAAAATCACACATGTTTACGAACACACATTAAAAACTTGGTCGATTTGTACGATTTGACTTTCACCACTTTATAGCCATAGCGAGTTTTCTCATTTTGATCGCTGAACCAAAAATTTTATCCCAAAAGACGCTGCTGATTCCAAAGCCTGCAAAATTTCCCATAGACTCTTTCAAAATTACAGGTACTGTAGCATAGAAAATAAAACGAATTGAATTGCCTGTGAGACGAGTTATATAGGTGGTACAACTGACCATTCTGTCACGTTGACAGACAACGCCAACTCATTTTATTTTCGATTACAGCATTTTTGCCCTTACCGCTGTCATGGTGCGCGAAATGGTGTTGGTTGTGGTATCTCTTCAAATGATAAAAGTAACTGTCTTCTTTGGGTGCTCCATAATGCAAATAGAAGTGAATCATATCGTATATGACGTAGCCTGGAGAATAAAAATATGTAAAGTGTTAGTGCTAAAGAACGTAAGTACCTGTCAGTCCTCCTGCTACTACAAGAACAATGATTGACTCGGGCACAAATAGGGTACATATTTGATACAACACATAGGCAATAACGGCTGCTGGAAAAGGCGGAAACACTAGTCTGCGTGGATCAAAAGGCACCTGAAAATTAAATTAAATACTACAATACTTAATTTCAAAACAAATTTTTGACGAACAGCGATATTTTTTTTTGGGTAATGGTTCGATTGTAGTAAATTATGCACGCGTACGTTATGGGCACTGGGTTGATACGTGTATCATTTATTACCATGGTGATGGAAATTGCTACAAAAGAACGAGGACACTTGAACGGATGAGTTGGACATGCAATTATATTAATATTGGATGATAAAGAAAATAAATATTGGGCTTAGTGACGCAGTCGACGAAAAATGGGGCACTCCTTATTAATGGGTCTGGGTTTGGCGCCAGACGATCAGCGATTCTGGGTTAATTCTTGCTTATATAACCAAAATGAATGCGTGAATCTAGTCAAGGGTTAAGTGTCAGTTTGCACGAAAAAATTAATTTAATCGAATTCAAATTTCCGCGGAAACTTTTAGGTGAAATATTTTTGTAGAAAGATGGATACAAAATACATACTTTGTGGTGAAGGCCGTGTATGGCGAAATGTACATAAATCATAGCTTTTGATTTTCCTGAAGGTTCCATGTGGAACACCCATCTGTGTAGGGAATATTCTATTAACGTCCATAGTACGATTCCTGATATAACACTTAATACTGTGGGTAAAACTGGAGATGTGTCTGAAACAAAGCGTACATTTATTACTTTGTTATTAAAAAATGTTAACTTTGCACCTGCAAAGAAAGCTTAATATCAATACAGGCGCGTCAGGATTGAATTATGCAAATATTACGTAAATTTAAGCAACAAACAAGTGGTAATTCTTAGTTAAAGCACGTTTGGCTTATCTCTAGATAAGATTACTAGTTTCATAATATGCTGTTTGACATACACGTAGGCTACAATTTGGCAAATTCTTATATTTGTCTATTAGGAAACAGAGCTCTACTATCTACTACCTGCTTGGTAAATAATTAGTCTACTATTTTATTTTTCTGCTTATCAGTGACAAAGCAATAACGTTATCGTTATTACTTTTTAAGTCAATTTACTGCAAGTTGTAAGTAGCACATTGTTTTTGGTGAAAATTTAGATTCTGTTATTTCTTTTGACAAAAAAATGTCGCAAATATTGAAATACTTTTGGACAATTTCTGAAAAAACTAGAAAAATTCTACGAAATACAGATTACAGACGAACAAGATTATAAACAGAATGATAACTGACATAAGACATGTAGACACGGTTATTTCGTTTAATCAGCTTGAAATTTTAGAAAATCATCATAAGTTGTAATATTTTTTTGTACAGTTTTTTGTTAGTGCAAAAGTGTAAGAGAGTTCAATTTAGTTTTCATGAATGTCGTTAATAAAAAGTGTTGGCGAAAGATCATAGAATTGAACCTTGCGACATATCAGAAATGGAATTTATTTCAATGATTTCTTTCAATTAAAACGCCAACACCCAAATTGGCGAGTCAAAGATCAAAAGAATTTGAATTATTAAAGAAAATTCAATCTGTCGAATTCGATGATTCCGATAAGAATTTTGTCAATAATGGTCGACTGATCAAAACTTATTACTTGCGAAAAGTACAACAATTTTCTAAATCTCGCCCACAATTGCAAGTTCTAAACCTTTGCTTCGCCCGTCAGATTCACAATTACCATGCCCATATTCCCTTAAAATTGATTACCCTGTCTAGCCGACTCACCTTCCGTGAGTTGTACGTATTTCCTCGCTCCATAGATAATAAAATACACTATCACGGGCACCCAGACCAGAGGCACCACGTACCATGGCGTGATGGTCAAGCTCTCCAGAATCGGGTTACCGAACAGCCTCAGCTGCCTATCCACGGGAGACACCACCCACTCGTTGTACCTCGCCCCTAGTCCCGCCACCTGGCTCAGCATGGGCTTGTCCCAATCCACCAGGGCCTAAAAGCAGCATAGCCATCAAGAACCCCCCATTTAACCCAAAATCACGATTACTTCCAAGTCTTCCTGTTCACCTTTATCGCCGGTGTCGCGGCCTCCGCTTTTGTATTCCCTCAGGAGGTAGTAAGCGGCCTTCGAGTGCTGGGTGTTTTGCATCCGCTGGGTGATTTCTCTATCTTGAAATGGCTTGACATAGTTTGTGCCTCCGGGGTGGTTGTTCAAGAAATCGTAGATGTTGTAGAAGTCGCCTCCGTGGTTAACCCTGAACTGTTTACTTTCGTCCATTTCCGAGGGGTTCTGGAATCGATGGCAATTATTTAATGGATTTCTGATTAGAGTGCTAGAAACAGTGGACGCGAGTGGTAATCGATGTCCTGGAAGTTAATGCTTCCTTTTTTATTGTCATTACCCGTTTTTTTTATGCTGACATAGTTTTCTCTAATTATTTTTGTTGCATGTTGTGCGTGTTTGTGATGTGGAGGCACTACATGGAATTATGGAAGGTTGCTTGTTACTGGGTGTACATTTTTTATGGTGGTTTTAATTTATTATGAACTGAGGTCTGCACTGACGTTGCTGTCTTTTTATTAAGATGCAAATGCAACTTGCTTTGTTTTTGGTTTGTGTCGCAATATGTTTAAAAAATGGATTGTTAGTTCTATTAAAACAATTAAAACTTGACCGTTTAAAAAAAGAAGATTATTGCAATAACTTACCTACAAAAGGGCACGTTATTTAAGTAGACTTCAATACTAGGATGAACGTCTGAATGATAATGTATAGAGTTTTATTCTAAGGCTCAAACGTTGATAAGGTAATTTATATAGTACAGACAACTTGCGTAACTTACTTAGTTATACTACCAAATGAGTAGGAATATGTTATTTACTATGTTCTATTAGATAATCAAAAATAATCATCAATTATACAGTACACCGATATCATTAGGCGAGTCGTATGTGTCCAAAATTTTATTTTTTAACTTTTGTTAACTGCTGTATTATAGAAGTTGATGTACACTTTGCTGCACATTTTCAACCTGTATTCACAGAAGCTAAACTGTTGAAATGTGATCTTCGATGGAAAATCGTCTTAAACACATATCAAATCAACAACAGTGTTTATCAACAACCTAGAGAAGAGTTGCTTGCTTCTACTGGATGTTACGCATACCTTTCATGTTACATAATAATATACAGAAGATTTTGAAATTTTGGCTACCTCGTTAAGGGTTGTTCGAAAATGTAATGAAAATAAACAGAAGTTAGTTTCACTGCTTAGTATCAAGTGGAATCAAAGAACTGGGTTCCTTAAGTGATGCTAAATTTGACCTGGTTCTTTGGATCTTAAAACTTGGCCACTCGGTTATTAAAGGAAACGAAAGCGTCTACCTCGAGTTTGTGCCAAAACAAGAGAAACGAAAGAAATGACTTTAGAAAGTCTTCTTGGTTGTAGTCACGATGTACCAAGTGTAACTACTTCAAGTGATATCATCAATTGGTGAAGAAAGTGAAGTCTTCCAGGTCTTTGTATTCGGCAATCGGTTCCTGAACTTTAAACTGATAAGTTCGTATGTGGTCAAGACGCTGATAATCATTACTGGATGGAGACCACTTTTCAAAATTTTATCGGTCAAGATATCAATGCTATCAATATCCAGAAACATTCATGTGGAATCAGGTGTTTGTCTGTGACGAATTTTTGGACGCTTTTGGTATTCCCGAACTACAGTTTTAAGTATTTTCTACCAAACGGGACGACGTAAATAAATTGCTTACCGTTTAGACAAAGTGGTATCTCAATTCAGACTTGGAGAAAAATTATCGAAGATTTGTATCAAGAACAACGTGTCAATTTCTTGGGATGCTTTAGACGAAAATTGGAAATTATTGTTAGAATCGTCGGCAAACAGAGAAAAAGAAAATGACCTGCGGGATTATATTTTTTTAAATTAATAAGAACATATTTCTAGTAACAACCCCTTAAATGTTATTGCTTTTTAAACAAATGCCAAAGAAAATCAGTGTTTGTGTAACAGGTTATAAATGCGACGCCACAGCTAAACAATTAATGTTTTTTTTTATTTTTAAAAATTGTTCATTTTTTTAGTGATTACTCTACAAATTAATTTATTGCAACTATAGTACTAACGAATATTATTTTTTAATCACTTTCATAAGCGGCTGCTGCCCAATTGACGCCAATAACAATCAATTTTAACTCGATCAATTAACATGACGGACCATAGATGACATAATAAAACCCATTACATAATATTTTTTTCCAGCACCGCTTCAAATCGGCGTATTTTTAGTGCACTGCTGCCAATTGCACCAATTAAATCAAGCAGACACATCAAACAGTATCGATCTGTGGATGCACTGACGACAGGCAAACACGCACGAAAACGAATCAATCGATACAATATTCATCGTTTTTTCGTATACTCGGTGTATCATCAGAATATCGCCTTACTTACCCCCATCGATTTGCCGAAGGCCAATCAAATTAATAATAAATAGCAGGATTGCCAATTAATGTAGTACACAGCGTGATGAAGATATCGATTCATACAATGTTGACAAGAAGCCAACTCACGTTCGAGAAAAATTGCAGATTTTGGAGAGTCACTGTACAAAATTGTGTTGTCTGTAGAACCGAATCACCACACAGACATTGTCACGTTTGAGATTCAAAAATATCAAGTTGTACTTACACAGATCTCCAGTTGCACTTGCTCGGTTTTCGTACTCATGTGTCACTGTTACTCAAAATTTTATTTTGTGTACGAGTATTCGTCGAACAGGTCTAACGCTTATCGTACAGTTTTGTCTTATCAGCAGTATATATTTACTTTCGCACCTTACCGATTTTACAGTTAGGCGGTGATTAGTTTGGGTAAATTTTGGCGAATTTTGACGATTTTTTGGATTTTTGACGCGTTTGAGTCGATTCGCGTTTGCATAGTTCGTAGGTGCGTAATGTTTTGTTTTGGAAATTAATGTTTAATAATAATCTTTTGGTCCACTTTTGCCTTGATAAGATAGTGTTACCTAAATGAATTTACGTAAGATAGCGTTCCAACTAGATGAATCAATCTATCGGCGTGATCATCGTCATGTGGAGACTGATTAATTTTTGTAGGAATGGAAGTGTTTGAATCACTTTCGACGTGTTTTTAGATTAGTTGATTGAATGTAAATCTGAATACTAGTTTGAGTTATGGGGAATGTTGTAAATTTTTATCTAAATCTGTGGATTTGCTACATACAAGGCCGAATTTAATACACTGTATGCGTTTAAAATTAGAACAACGAAACTGCTGCATTGTGAAGATTTTCAAATAAGGTTATTCTAGAAATCTTAAATTTTTCAAACTTATAAAGTTGAAAAAGAAAATTTTGAAAATAAAAACTGTCGAGAAAAGTACAAGAAGTGTTCCATTGTTCAAAAAAAAAAAAACACAACAGTGAATGGTGGCGGCATAAAATGGCTTCATCCACCTCATAGCCTCATACCCTCATTCTTTGTAGCCAATAAGCTGGTAATTTCGGGGTTGGATGTAGTGGGCGACTATAATTTCAACAGACTTCGTACAAAAACCTCGACGTGAATTAGCATGGAACAGGATGGATTATTCCGTAACCACCAAGGATGTTTTTTATTACAAATTGCAAGTAGTTACTAGATTTTATCTTATAGGAAACATGTTTGATTAGAATTAAAGTTTATTTATTTCATTAGTTTATCTATCAATATTAAATAATATCTTATGATCTTATGAATATTTCGAAAAGCTTAATTACATACAAAAGACTTAACTTTTCAAACACCAGAAACACTAAATCGTAAGGCCTATTTTTCATTTTGTTGAAGTGACGTCATCACTTTTTCTGGGGGGAATGAATTTTAGTTAATGAATGAACGGTTGCAGGTACCAAAATGTTAAACAAGTCAATTTATACACGTGGTACTTTAACGCCGTGTTAAAAATTTAACCGCAATCCAATATTTAATTAAAGATCTATGTGGATCCAGTTCCAAAATTTAATTGTTTCTGTAAACCGGGTTTAAATCTAAAAAGGAAGTTTGAAAGCAGACTAAGGACACTAAAATTTTGTTCTTATGAAATCTTCTCTAGGTTAATATGAAAAAGCTAAAAGCTCTAAGATTTTTTGAAATTCTTAAAAACAATACTTGGAATTCCCAAAAAATTTTTACAAAAATAAAACAAAGAAGTCCCAAAGACTTTCGTCCTTAAAAAACAGACACCAGGATTCTTTCAAACACATTCAAAAACAAAACACTAGAGTCCTCTAATTTTTTTTAATTCTTTAAAAAATAAAGCACTAGTAACTCCAAGACCCTTTCAGTAAAAAAAAAATGGTACAAGGTAATTTCTGTCTCCTCTGAATTTCAAGACACCGATGTAAGTGGGATTTAATCGAAAATTGTAGTGAGATTTACTTTGGAAAATTTAAGATGACGTCATTAAATTGTTGGTGGGGATAATCAAACCAATGTTGCGATCTATACGATCTAAAATGCGATCGGAAGGGCTAGTTTTTCATACCTTGGGGAATATGAAACGTCAGGATGTAAAAATATTTTGTAATTTCTTTGATTTTATAAACGTGTTTTATGATATTTAATTATGATGAATACAGTTTAATTTTTAATACAAAATTGTCTTCTAGACTAAAAAAATATCTTAATATTTCCAAGGAATCTTTCTAGTAAAAAACATGTATTATTAATAAAAGTATGTAATACACTTTTTCAAAATTTTGGTTAATTATACCTGGACGCATTACTAATTTTATCCTCGTCATGTCAAAAACTACACATCTCGATTATCAGAATAAAGCAGAAATCCCTAAAATAGCTCTGGTCAATACAGATGAAAGGTCAAATCTTACTCAAAGCTTTTAGCAAGGGAGCGGCTCTTACATGGGGTCTATTATATTAGACTCAAGGCAAAAAACAATTAGTAAAATTATGTATAAACACATCACATAATTTTTTTAAACGTTGTGCGACACTAAATGAGAACCAAATAATTAACAGCACTACATTAAAGTACTGTTTACGCGTCTAATTTATTTTACACTCTTCGGCGATGACATTTTCCAGCTCGTAATTGATATAACAGCCTTTTGATACGTTTATTTTCACAGAAATTGCTGTTTTGCTCGATTCCGTAAGTGTCCTCAATCGTAAGACGTAGTTTATAGTTTTTTAAATAGGTCGCATCTTAGTGTTTTGGTGGAGGTTAATGAGGTTAAGTGGAGTGATAGAAAATGATTGTCAATGTCACATACCTTCCTATCTAGTTTTAGACACATTATACGAAAGAAAACTACAGTGAAAACCATGCTCCTATTACGAAAAAGCACCAAAATTTGGCGAAAATGTAGACGCTTCGCAATAACTGTATTGACATCCTGTAGGATTTCCATATTGTGAAAATGTTAACGTGTTGTTTTGTTGGAAGGTCGCGTGATCAAATTAAAGATTCCATCTTTTAAATTTATGTCGTTTTTGTGATGATAGTAATATTTCATACGAATTCGATCTTGTTAGGGCGCGACACGCCACAAGATGGTCTTCAATTTGTGTATACCTACACCTACTTAATTTTTCGTGTAGTTTTGCTCACTGGAGTAGGTGTGAACACATGAATAACTTAAACTAATTTGTCAGACACTTAAATGAACTAAAATTAAGTTCACAGAATTTCGGGGAAGTTAATAAGTCGAAAGCCTCACTCAGTTTTCTTTGCTTTATTAATTAATACCATGAAAAACAGTCTCAACTAATTCTGCTTTCGTTGAAATTTTAGCAACACTCCTTTTTTTTAAAGATAAAATCGGAAGCGCGAAACTACTGCAAAAACAAACAACCCAAAATCGCGTCAAACTTCTCCGGAGCCTGTAATAAAAAGCAGCCTCCGGGGATTACTTTGTTGATTAAACACCGGATTTTTGCTTTTAATTCACCTCCCCCATACATCTGCTTCTTGATGGTGAAATAAAACGCTTTATTGCCAGCTGCTCCATATTTATCTGGGTTAAAAAGTGCGTGTGCGCGATTACAAAGCAAATTAATAATTACTACATTACGTTATGGTATAATAAAGGAAAAGATTTAGTCGGGCAAATGTTACAAGATTCGCCAAACGAGAGTAATTTTACGGTCACACATATGTTGCTTCGTTTTTATGGTCCACTACGCCGGAGCTACTTTAATAAAATAGTGTGTTAATAAATGTCGGGTGGGTAATGTTGCGCACCTTAAAACCTGCTTAATAAAGTGTGAATAATTATTTTGACGGAAAATTTCGTTGCTTGGTTGTAAACAGTGTTGTTATGGAGGTCTCCAGGGAGGTTACAATGTGGCGAGAATAATTGTAAATGGAAAGCTGATGGGTGGCGAAAACTGAACGTCTGGGAAAAAGCTGACGCTTTGTTCTATTTTTTTTAAAGGATACGTGATATGATTTGCCGCCCCAGACACTTATTTTTGTGATGTTTATAACGCAAATTTATTTTATTTTGTGAAAATGCAGCGACAGAAGTTTTGTTATCTCGTGCTCAAGCACGTAAGCCACCGTTTTTTAATTATGCGCTGTAATTCCCGTACAAAACACAAGACAGGATACATACTGGAATTTTGCAAACGCCACTGATTTTAATTTAAAGAGGGATGAGCTTGTTTTCGTGAAACACATACGAATCAATTTTGATGCCATTCAGAATGTTTTTAGTGCAACGTTTTCCTCACTCATTCGTTTGCTAACTTGCAGTTTAAGTTTGATAGAACTATTTGTTTTTTTTTAGTTCAATCCATTAGCTTATGTGCAATTTTTTTTGACGTTAGACGTTTAGATTTTTGTAACAAAAATTTAAATTGTTAAGGTTATTGTAAACAAGGTAAGTTGTTCACTTAAAATTTTTGTTTAGTCTATATGAAAATTTGATGACATACTCCCAAAATTTGTATACATATTTATTTTTATTCCAAAGTTATAGGGCGTACAAAAAATTCGCAGATCTTTTGTAACTGTGAAAGAGTTCTATCCCAGACCAGTATCGACTCTAAGAATATTGTTGAAATCGTAATAATTCAATGGATTTTTTTCGGGAAAATGTAATTGTTTTTATGTTTTGGAAACACTGTGTTCTGCTTTGTGTGAATTTTTAAATTTTTTTAGTGACAATTTTTGTGGTTATTTTCGATACATTGTATGATATTAGCACTGAGAAAAAAATGAAAAATTAAAATAACTGAAAATTTGAAAAATTGAGAAATCTAAAAATTGAAAAACCAAGATGTCAAGAAACATTAAAAAATCGTAAAACCGAAAAATTGAAAAATCGAAATATCGAAGAACTGAAAATCGAAAAATCAGAAATTCGAAAAAATGTAAAATTCAAAAATCTAAAATTTAAAAACCGAAAAACGAAGAATCGAAACTCCAAAATTTAAAAAATCAAAAAATTGAAAAATTGGATAACTGAAAAATTGAAACATCGAAAATTGAAATCGAAAAATCAAAAGATCGAGAAATCGAGGAGTCGAAAATTCGAACAACTGAGAAACTGAAATAGGCCAAAATCGGAAAATTAAAAAGCTAAAAACTGAGAAATTGATAAATTGAAAAATTGACAATCAAAACATTGAAAAATCCAGAAATCAAAAAATTTTAAAATTTGAAAAATTGAGAAATCGAAAAAACAAAAAGTTAAAAAATTGGAAAAGCGGAAAAATAAAAAAACCGAAAAACGGAAAAATGGAAAAACTGGGAAACCAAAATAGGCCAAAATAAAAAATCGAAAAGTTATAGATTGAAAAACTGATAAATCGAAAAACTGAACATTCAAATCTCGATAAATCGGGAACTCAAAACATTGAAAAATCGAAAAATTTAAAAATTGAAAAATTAAACAAAAGAAAATTTGAAACAAAGAAAATCTAAAACCAGGAAGACGAAAAATCGAAAAATTAAAAAATCGAAAATTTGAAAAACAAAATCTAAAACTGGGAAGTCGAAAACTCGAATGTAAATATTGAAAAATTAAAATATCAAAAAATTGAAAAATCGAAAAAGTGAAAAATCAAAAGCAT